CCCCCTTTTTCCCCGAGGGGTCCAGCTTAACGCAGAGCTTAACGCAGAGATCCGGTGCCTAAAAGGGGGAGATACATAACGTATCTCCCCCTTTTTCCCCGAGCGGTCCAGCTTAACGCAGAGCTTAACGCAGAGTTCCGGTGCTAAAAAGGGGGAGATACATAACGTATCTCCCCCTTTTTCCCCGAGCGGTCCAGCTTAACGCAGAGCTTAACGCAGAGATCCGGTGCCTAAAAGGGGGAGATACATAACGTATCTCCCCCTTTTTCCCCGAGCGGTCCAACTTAACCCAGAGCTTAACGCAGAGTTCCGGTGCTAAAAAGGGGGAGATACATAACGTATCTCCCCCTTTTTCCCCGAACGGCAGAGCTTAATGCAGAGCTTAACACAAAGTTCCGATACTCAAAAACGGGGAGATATCACATAATCACATACGTAAACTTGTGTCCTGGGACTCCTAGTGCTGCTGCTTTTTCTGCTGCTGCTGCGGCTTCTCCTGCTGTCTTATTCACAATGTGACGTTGTGATTAGAAAAGAAGTAAAATGGGGATGCATGCGAAACAACAAGGTCGTGAAGCATCGTCATCATCATCGTGGCCCCGGCCCCAACGGCCCCGGCCCCAACGGGTGTTGCAGGGAGATCTTGCCTCAAAAGAAATTAGACGGACCATGTATATAGCTTGGAAGCTCATATTAGACACATCATAACGTTTCTCTACCCTTTTGCTTTGAGTGCTTGTGCTGTCCATTAGTCCACTCCAGTCCGGACAGACTGGAGATCCATGACGATATCACTTGGTGATTGGAGACAGCATTGACAGTGACAGCATGGATGTATCCGCGAATTCTGCGAGCACTGTGGCTGCGATCTGTTGTAGGACCAGGATCAGGGTTCCAAGATTCAAGATTCAACAGGACAGAATCAGAATAGAGAAACCGAAGCACCCTAGTTATGGCGAAGTACACATCAGTGAATGGCTGTAGAGACAGCAAAGATATTCAGATGCTCACTTCACCTCCACCGAGCTTCTTGCAGCTTTTTAGTGCCTCTGGCTGTGTGAGCCGTGAGCGACTTCTGGCAGGAGTGCTTGCTGTTTCAGAATTTGAGATGTATTTCCAGAGATCGTGCGAATGCTGCTAGTATTCGGCCTGGCAGTGCAGTGCAGGAAAAGCATGGCGACCTCGTTCGAAGGCAAGGCGGTGCCCAACTTGGGCAGCCAGACAGTGGAGGAAGCCATGCGGCAACATCGTGCATTTGATCCATGGTCCGTGAAGCCAGGCCACACCCTGCTGAAATCACCCTGTCGAACATGCAATTGTGGCAACCGGAATAGGGCTTTTCAGACGGCGGGTAGCTCTGCTGCACGTGACTTGGCCCACTGCACAAGGACATTTCCAGTTCTCTGCCTTTGCAAAGCCCACCAAAGACGGTGACGGTGACAGCATGGATGTTGTCGACACCACCGCGCCCTCGCCGTCGCCCTCTTCCGCGGAACTTCCAAGAACGTTGCCGCTGTCTTGTTTTTCCGAGAAGTTTAGCTCAAGGCTGGGCGGCAACCGCAGCTTGTTGATTCAAGTTGATAAATGCAATGTTGCAGTTCTGTGACGTGTAAACATGTCGGTGTATTGATAGCATCGATCCCTTGGCTAAGGTATTGGCGCGGCAGAAGACCTCCTTCGATGTTTCAGAGATGGCTTTTCGAAGTCGGCCATGGCGAGGCTGGTGATGCCACATTCGCAGGTGCGGAGCTCTTGTTTTCCATTCTTGCTTTGCTTCTTCATGTCTTATTGAAGTCCAGTCTTTCTGACTTCTGACTTGAAGAACCTTGCACACTCAGGGCATGCCATTTGTTTGTCCGGATGGTTTCTTGCCGAACCCAGCATGGGCATCCTTGCACGCCATCAAGGCTTTGGCGCAAGAACTTCAGCAGGTCCCGTCTGAGGAAAGGACGCCCGCCCACGTGGACGTCCTCGCGATCTTCGAGAATGGCGTGGACGTGGAGTGGGTCCAATTCAACACCTTCATGCGCCTTGTCAGAAAGCAGAAAGCACACTCGGTAAGTCTGCCAAAGTAGAAGGAGAATTCTTCAATTCTTTCGTGTCCTCGCAGCAGCTGTTGATGTCTCACAGGACACTACTCTTGATTCTTGATTCTCATTGTGAGAGTTGCTGAACAGCCGAGGGAATGGGTGATCCACCTCGAAGCGGACTCCGTGAAGAGGGAGAAGTCCAGCAAGGTGAGATGTGTCATCCAAGCCAGGGGCTGGGGCTGTACTAACATGTGTACACCCAGAACATGTCCACTTTTCACAGAGCTGCACAGTGTCACACTGCTCCATTGGAGTCACTCGCCACACAGTGCAGGGAGTTCTAACTGACGTGACATTGAGAGGCATTCTTCGCTGAGAGCGCCCTCATCATTATGGCACTGGCCGAGAAGCACAACGATGCGAGCACCGAGTACCGCATGCTCTTAAAGATGGGCGAGTACGCAGCGAGGAGGACGTCCGACACCTTGAAGGTGATGAACCACGTGTCGCCTGAGGCAGAAAGTTTAAAGAAGTTGGGCCTGTGTCGTATTCTTACTCCTTGCAGGTCTAGTTCACAGTGTGCCCTGCCCAATGAGGCTTTGCTCTACCTTGTGAACTGGCGCCGATCTACATCGCTGAAGAAAATGGGGATGTGGAAGGAGGTTTTCCTTCTTTCCACAGCACTCAAGGATCTCAAGGGCAAAGTGGTGAAGGCTGGGTAGCTTGCGCACAGAACAGTCCTCTTCTGTGACGTTGCAGCATGACTTCTTTTGAGGGGTGTTGTGCCAGCTCGGTGCCAGCTCGGAGGCATATGACCGAGATGCCGGAGACGATGCACAAGTCATAGCCATGCGGATGGCATGTGCAAAGGTGGACCAAGCAGTGATGGCTTCGTCCTCGTCCTCGGCCTCAAAGGCCACAGCGGGCTCAACTCTGAACTCCCAGGTTTTCTCAGGGATGTGTCAGCATATTGGGGCGGCCATCGCGTACTTTGACTCCTTGCGCGTGCAGTACGCCGCAGTGTACGATGTGCCTCAGCTAAACAGCAGTACTTCAGCATGTCATGAAAGCCGTCCTGCAGTTGTAAGAACAATATTTTGATTTCTCCTGCTGGCTCAGGGCGTCCCCACTGCCCAGAAGCTCGTGAGCCGGGTTTTCTCCGACCCGGTCTTGCTCAGCAAGTTGGCTGGACACATCAACCAGTGCAAGCTGATGCCATCTCTTGCCCGCAGCAGCCAGAATGAGTTCTCCAGCTTGGAACAAGTTCTGCGCCGCAACTTGGAGACAGTGGAGCGCATACAGGCAGAAGCTCTTGAAAGGCAAGCTGCACAGAAGAAGCTCGAGCAAGAGCAAGCTGCAGCAGAGCGAAGGGAGCTGGAGAAAGCGGCGGCGGAGGCGGCGGCCTTGGAAGCCATCCGGCGCAAGAAGGAGGAGGACACAGCAGCTGCTGAACGGAAGAGGCTGGAGGATGAGGCAGCGGAGCAGCGTCGCCAGGAAAAGGAGCTGGAAGAAAAGAGGGCGGTGAGAGCTCGGGTGGACGTGGAGTTCGACCAAATCTTCCATGTCAGTGATGGTGAGACGCTTCCTTCGATGAACCTGAGCTCCAATGAGTCCGTGCGGCTCTGGTTGGTTGGGTTCAAGGCCCACGATCGTGGCCCGAAGAAGCTTGGCATAGGCAGGCTGTGTGCGAGAGTGTATGGATCATGGTGCAAAACCGAACTAAAAACAGACAACTTGCTTTCGCGCAGCGCGCAGAGTCACACGACATTACAGTTACTTCTGCTGCGAGGCACTTCTATGCCACAGATGAACAAGGCTCCGTGGCTCAGCTCTTTCTCACAGACGGACTTCATGGTGCTCAGCTTGGGTCATGACCCGACCTCGCTTATGACGATTCAGGAGGCTCTGTTTCAGGCTAAAGCTGTGGAAGCTTGACCGTTTCGTCCTTAACTAGGACCTAGAGTGGGCCCTTATTCCTTTTTTTAGGCTTTAGGCTCCCTTGTAAGCCCCTTTAAACCAAAAAAGGGCACCCTTTTTATTCCTAGGTTACTCTTGGGTCTGGTTAAAGATGTAAGAAGGACATCTAGATGTAAGTCAACCATTGAGACAATCAGCGTCCAACACACACACACACTCACACAGACAAACACACACACAGACACAGTCATACACACACACACCCACACACACACAGTCACACACACACACAGTCATACACACACACACACACACACGCACACACACACGCACACACCGTCACACACCCACACCCGCACCCACACCCACACCCACACACACACACACACACACACCCAGCCACACCCACACACACACACACACACACACAGTCACCTCACTTGAGTCGAACCTTGGAAGAAGCAGAGGCCGTCCAGACTGTGGTCCCACAAGTGCTTTGGCAGCCTTACGTTACCTGTGTTGTGCAAAATGCTGCGGCCTCGTCTTCGACTTCGCCCTCCTCGTCCACGTCCGCATCCTCGCAATACGTCGAGTTCCTATGCCTCGGCCGTGGGATGAAGGCAGCTGAGGGCTGGCTGCCAAACGTTTCTTGGCTTTCTGACTCTCCGGTCCAGGCACTTACACGACCCGCATGATGGAGGATTGAATGCTGGTCGTCGTTCGGTTTTCTCATGAGTCCCATTTGTTTCGATTTTCCATGGCTCCAGCGCAGCAGTGGATCAGTTCATCTAAGGTGATCCATGTTCCGAGTGGGTACCCGGATCCCTATCTGCGTGTCTGCTCCTGTTTGAGCTGTGGTACCAGCCCGCAGCCGGATCAGCTGCTGAAGTGCCCGGCAGTGACGGCTCTGGAGAGTATGCTAGTCGTCACAACCGGCCGTGCAAAGAAGTCAAGGACAGAGGGGGATCAGGCGACTGCAACGACAGACGAGGATGACAAGCAGCTCAAGGACAGCGAAGCCGTGGCCGACGAGGATCCAGATGACGCGGAGGCCAGGGATCATTGTTGTCAGCCAGAAGCGCAGACAGTCTAGGTCTAGGTCAGGGTGGAGGGTTCCGGGTTCGAGACTGGTCAGGGGCCGAGAGTCCTGGACATCGATGACAGTCGACATTCGATAGAAGTAGAGAACCCAACCTGCTGCGTAGCCGCTAGCCGTGTTGGGCCACAGACGTTCATTATAATGTGCCGCGGCCAGGCTGCCAAGTTCAAGTTCCTACGCAAAACGTGGCAGAATGGCGTAGCTCCCGAATTCCTCATGCAGCTCTTGGCCGTTGTCCCCGCGCACGTGGAAGCGATCATCTTGCCGTTCCCGCTGCCCTTTGCCACAGGGATCATGAAGGGAGTCCTGGAATGGAACCGCGTCTACGGCAAGCTTCGGGCGTATGAGCTGCAGTTAATGATGAAAGTTGCGCCCAAGGGCATCACGGCCGAAGGCGGCGTCAGCAACATGGACATCAGGCACAACTTCGCCCTTGCCGTGGAGGTGGTCAAGACTGACATGAGCACCGTTGCAGACGCTACTGTCGTCAGCCGCGGAACGCAGAGTCAGAAGCGCCCTCGCCAAAGCCCTCGGAAGCTCAAACTAGAAAGAGATGGCAACGAAGAGGGAGGGCCAGACAAAAATCCTGTTCATGAAGATGATGCTGGCGATGAAGATGGCGAGGAGCTTGACCTGGCGGGCGAGTTATCAATGACTGAGCATGGTTATCAGGGTTGCATCACAGTGGGTGCTGCCCTTTGCAGCAAGGAGCTTGCCAGCGTAGCCCAGGCCGACTCTGACGAAGAAAGTCCTGAGCAAAATGTTATGAGCAAGGAGAGAATGGCGACTTGGCAGTCCAGGAATTGAATTGTCCTGAGCCTTAGGTACGTGATGCACTCACTGAAGAGGTCTCAATCCTGATTTGTCCTTATTGCTTCTTAGTCTTTGGCGTCAACTGTCAACTGAGGTGATTTCTCGTCGCAACTTCTTGGCCATGTCGAAACACAAAGTACAAGTGGCACCGACATCGGCAACGTCGGCCCCGACAGTGGTGGGTGTGGGACTGCATGCGCAAAAGCAGTTGAAAAAAGATACACTCATAGCGTGCAAAGGGCCGCTCGCCTTGACAATGTCCTCGTGGTTTTTAGTTTTTGCTGCTTCCGTGTGGTTTCTGCCAGTAATTAGCTCCAAGCTCAGGCCGTGGTTTGACTCATTGCATGACGCTCGCGCCTTTGCCACGGAGGTCGACTGTCAGCAGCGTATTTGCAGAGTTCGCATTCAGGATGAGTCTGAGATGGTTGAGATGGATGACGAGGACGAGGAGAATCCTCGCCAGGGTGGCAAGTGCAAGTTCATCGTGCTCACAGGCATAGCGGGTTTCGTGAATCACTTCGACGGCCTCGGCCTCGTGCCAAACGCACAGCTGGTTCTGAACCCATCCGCAGGCAGGCAGCTCATTCAAAATACAAAGATATTAATTATTAATGGCCTCTTCTTTGTAAAGGACAGGTTCTGTTTTAAAACCCGACCTGGATCATGTTTGCATGCCTCACGGCAGGACTGGGATCCCACTTGCTTCAGCTGAAAATCTTGAAGCAAATCCCGCGCAACACTGAGATTTTGATTGTTCCTCGTCATGCATTGTGTCATTGTGCCTTCTGGTTCTTCTTCACAGCTTGAGCAGCCTGAACCGAACCCAGACACGGCGACGGGCGGTAGGCAAATCGATCAGTGCCAGTGACCCTTGAGAAATCTTGAATCATGTTGGTTTGACTCTAGGACTACGGCACGGAGATGCAGCTTCCACGTCTTCCTCCTCTTCCACCTCCAGCTCCAAAGGTGAAAAGGAAGGCCAGAGCAAAGAAGCCGCCGACGCCGCGGAAAAATGCGGCGAAAACCGAGGGGGGGGATGAGGCAAAGCCGGAGTTGGAGAAGAAAGAGAAGACGGAAGAGAAGAGTGAGGAGGAAGAGCCGGAGCCAGACGAGGAGGAGGAGAACGAGAAGGACATGAACGATGACGAGGCCAACGGACGGGACATGGAGGAGTGAGAAGACGAATCGATGTCTCAACTCAGCTGCAGCCTCGACTCGGCTGTAGCCTGTAGTCAGTTACGTAGTTTTGGGCTGGTGCCAGTGCTGTGGCTGCTGTGGTTCTGGTTCTCTTGTTCCTAGTCAACAAACAGTCAACGTGTCAACAGCAACAGGCCAAGCAGTCTGAGAGAGGCCAAGAGAGTAGAGTAGAGATTGCAGTCGACAGACGATGCTCTCATTCCTCAAATTGTGAGTTGTGAACCTGACCATGTGCGCTGTATGCACTGGCCCGACTGCCCGACTCGTATTCGACCTCGACCTCGGCTGATTTTTGATCGAAACCGCCGCCATTGCATGACTGCCTCTGGTGTGCTGGCTGCAATCTGCAAAAAAGTGTATCTTTGCAGCTCGCGTGGATCGTCTTTCAAGTGCACTGACCAGCGCAGCTCAGATCATGCCAGCTTTGCGCTCAAGCCAAGAAGTGTTTCAATCGACTTTCCGAGGCCTGCAGATCTCGCTGGACCAGCCAGTCTTCGGGCTATGCCGAGGCCCGGCTGGCCCATGATTAGTTCTTCGTTGGATGCATGGTTGACTGCACTTGTCATGCAATGCAGAGTGGGATGTGGCTGCGCATGTAACCGTAATTGCACATTGCACTATTGCACTGCACATGACATGCGGAGGCACAAACCGAGGAACTAGCATGATTCATGGTTCTGCGTGGCGTTGGACATGGAAATATGAGATGAGCACGGTCACTGGTCACTGCCGACTCCCCTCAAGTGTCTGTCTGTGTGTCTGTGTGTACAGTCTCTGTAGAGTCGTGAACATCTGCGCACGTGTGAAGCCATGGCCATGGCCAGATCCTGCTATTGCTTTCGCGCAAGCTGTCCAGACTGCAGCCAAGATACCCAAATCCAGCAGAAGCCGCCGAAAAAACAAAAACTAACGCTGGTCATTGAAGACAGCTTTCCTTGCGAAAGCAACGGCAGCACACGAGAGCATAGCGCCAAGTCCCAGTCAAAGGGGCACCAGCAGCAAGAAACATCGTCGAAGTCGTCCTCGGCCTCGGCCACGCCGGCCTGCTTCTGTTTTCGCAGCGATTGTTCTGTGTGCATGCGGGCCATGCACGTGGGCGGCAGCAGCATGCGCAGTTCAGTCAGTTCAGCCGCGGATGATGAGGCCAAGCAGACGGAGACAGGGCCAGTGGAGCAGAACAAGAAGCGCAAGAAGAGGGTTATTCCGAACGATGGCAAAGTCAAGCAGAAGCTGTCTGTGGATGTCGCCATAGTCAACACGAAGTGTCCTTTCGTTCGAGCAGCCTGGGCGGTTCCACCTTCAGTGGGTCAGACGTTGACTCAGAAGCTGAACCTGCAAGCCGGCCCATGGCAGTTCTGGGATGCTTGGCTCAGCAAATTACGGCTTGTGTTTGCGTGGTAGCTAACGGTAAGATGGGCTTGTCATTATGGCAGCCCATACATTCGACACTCGAATCACTCGAACCCTCAATCTAATAGACAGACAGCTGTTATGTGGATGCAGTACTACAGCATAACGAAGCTCAGGAGCTTTATGCAGGTTCTGGCCGCCTGACAGAAGCTGCGAGAGCTGCTGGCTTGGTCTGTGGCCCAGCAGTCGATTGGCTCTACGACCCCAGCTCGCACTCGACCTCGACCTCGGCTTCACCAACACAGCTGTGCCTTGATCTTGGTACTCAGAAAGACCGGGACATAGTGCGACAGTTGATCCAGGAGAACACCCCATCCTGGCTGCACTCGGGTGAGCCGTGCACTTTCTGGGTGACTTTGTCGAGAAGCACGGCGAGGAAGTTTCCGCAAGAGTGGGTTCGCGCAAGAGAGATTGCAGTGCAACACTGTCATTTCGGCATCGACCTCGCAGAATACCAGCGTGACAACGGCAGGATCGCTTCGAGGGAGAGCCCACTGTGTGCGGGATCCTGGCAGACAGATGTGTGGAAAAACATGTTCACGAACGGCTTTGAGAAGAACCGCTACGACTCCTGCCAGTTTGGCTTGGTCGATGAGCATGCCCGACCTCTGAAAAAGCCTGGCATTGTAGCGGCCAATCGTAAAATGTCTCACATTGCTAGGTTCTGCACATGCAAGGAGGCAGGCAAGAAGCATGGCAAATGCTCTGGAATGACCGACAGCGGCCCACACAAGGGCACGAGAAGGACATTGCTTGCCGGAGCATACACGCCAGCTTTCTGCGCAGCTTTTGTTTCAGACATCCAGACCTCATTGTCTTCTTTGCGCTGATTTGTCACCGGAGGGATCTTCAGGCAATCGTACCATCCCAGTCTGTCATGAAGCCGCACGAATAGTCTAGGCCGACACAGCAAGACCAAGTGATGAAAAATGAAGCTGAAGTCACCGGAGTCGGTGCAAAGCAGCAGCCGTAGCCGTAGCAATTTCAGCTTGGCATAGTCGGCATAGTAGCAGCCCGGGTCCGCCCATGCCCAGCTGGCAGCCCTACGAGAAATTTCAGAGTCAGGGTCATTACCAGGGTCAGGCGATTTCTGATAAGAAGTAAGAAGATGCTGCGGGAGGCTAAGGCTGAGGCTGCAGGCAGACGATCTACACGGGCACGCATGCGATTCCGCAGTTCCGCAGACATTGCCATTTGCCACTGCCAAGCAGCCAGACTGGGAGCCCCGCTGCTGAGTGCAGAGTGCACACTATGTAGAAGTGCTTAATTGGTTAAGTCGGAGCAGAAGTTCGTGAATGAGTGCGGCATGCTCTCCAGTCTAGCAGGCTGGGATTTCCAGCGAAGTAGTTTTCTTTCATTTTCATGAACTGGGTGCACACTCGGTGAGCACAGGGGGCCATGCGAGCGAGCAGAGCAGAAATGTTCGTCTTGCTACCATTTGCTGTACCTTCAGCTTCAAGCGTTGAGCAGACTCCTCCAGCCGAAGCCTGAACCCAATGCTGCTTTCTGCAAGGCAAGGTCACCGACCATGATATGGACAACCGATGCGCAGGCCCAGTTCAGTGAAGTTGAGTGCAAGCCTTCGTCCTTCGTGACCAGTTTCCTGCACCTTCCATCAATAAAATCTTGGGGTCTTGGGTGAAGTGAAGCAGACTGAAAGGCAAAACTATCAACTGAGTCAAGGGGTTTATGTATCTTCGGTTTCAGTTCTGTGTAGGCAACGGGCTCAGGGCTCAGGCGTTGATGTCATGTGGTGATTGACTGACTTGCTGTGGGCAGGCAAGGGCACTGGGCAGAGTGTATGAAGCACAACTTGATTTGCCTAAGTTCAGCTGTGCGAGTTGCAAACAGTTTGGAATGGGTCGGGGGCTCGGGGATCACAGTGGCGCGTCGCACAGAGTCGCACATGCATCTGCCGAGCTGTTGCCTTGTAGTTGTAATTATAGTTGCTTGAGCAGCAGTGGACCGCAACCCATCCAATCGTATAGATAACAACTCGCCACTATGGACGATACCTCAGCATGCAACATGGCCTTCAGAGCAGCAGTCGCAGTCGCAGCAGTGGACCACGACCCATCGAATCGTACAACCAACTCTGAATAATCTTAATGATGATTTAATGATTGACCGACAATGCCGCAATGCCCCGCCATGAAACATGCTATTGCTTTCAAGCAAGCTGTCCCATTTGTTTTCCAGTTCCACTACAAGCCTCTGCAAAGCCTGCAGCGCAGCCAAATCCAGCGACATCGTCCTCGCCGAGGACAACCACATGTTTTTGCTTTCAAAGAAATTGTAACATCTGCTTCCCGCGCTTTCCGGAAGCAGCCCATGCAGAGACGCAGACACTTCAGTCCACATCGACGTCCTTCTGGCAAAGAGAACTCCAGAAGGACTGGGCTGGCTTCTTTAATGAGTCGGATGCTTTATACTTTAGAGTTAGAGCGAGTCGCACTTGGGTTTTTCTTTTCTGGGCTGTCTGGGCTTTTTGCAGGTTTCAATTTGAGAGTCTGAACAAGTTGAACAAGAGCGAGGACAGAAATCACAAACACGGACAGTGACAGTGACAGAGGTACAGATATTGCAGATCCATTGAAACAAATCTGGTGCTGTTTAACCAGGACAAAGCCACACTTCTGTCAGCAGCCACATCTGGCAGCGGGTCGCCGTTATCAGCAGATTGCAAGAAACTGATCGCAAATGCTGACATGCTTCTTCGACAAATGCTTAGCAAGGATGGCCTACATGGTTTACGCGGCCCGACTGTGAATCTTTACTGTTGTCCATTGCAAGTTACTTGATGACTTGATGCTACTGCCTTGTATCCGACCGGAATCGGAAGTGAGCTGTGACTTTTTCTGAGCTTTGGATAGGGCAGTATGATCAAATCACATGTCGGCCTGCAGTCAGTGGCAGTGGCAGTGCAGTGCAGTCAGTTCAGGCCAGGGTCCGATTAGATTCCACGTTTTCCTCGTAATCTGTGGGTATGAGCTGACCGTCAGCTGACCTGAGGTTTGCTCGGCCCCCTACTGATGTTACTTTTGCATTTCTGACTGACTGAGGATTCCTGGAACAAGGACCGGACTGGACCCAGATTCCTTGTTCAAAGAACCAGACCGCGTACTCTGGAAGTAGGCTGGATCATTTGATTGCCCGGCTTTTTGGTACAAGCACAAAGACGCTGCGGGTCATCCGCTCCCAAGGTGTCCTGGGAGTTCAAGAGCCTCAGCCAAGTGGCCGTCGGCCACGCGACACAGACCTGGGTATCACGACTGATGAACCTCGTCCTCGTCCTCGTCCTGGTCCTTCGAAAAAAAGGAAACATATGCAGGCAGAGCCAAAGGCTGAAGTACCGCCAGAGCATGGTGAGCTCATCGCCAGCATTCCTGCAGCACTGCGGGCAACGCCCGGGCTTCTGCGCAATATGCAGATTGGACTTGTTTTGGGGCGGCTCATGGTGCAGACACTTGTTAGCTCGAGCGTTCACTCCCATTATCCAGCGCGTGTCCTGCAAGCCTTTCTCAGTGGAGCCCCGGTTGGGCAGCACTATCATGCCACTCTGCTCGTGTCGGTGTGTCTTTTGACTGAAGGTTTGGGTTGCAAAGGTTGCAAAAACATGCCAGGTTGTGATCACATACATTCCGTCGCTCTCTGAGGACCGACATGCTCTGAGAGGCTTTGGGCACGCCCTCGTCAATCTTATTCATGAGGCCGGCCATTGGGAGTCTATAGTCTGTGAAATCAAGGTGATCAAATTCCTGCCAGGATTTGCGAGCGCGGTTCTGGGAAGTGTCCCCGGCTTTGGAACATTATTCCCTGCCGCCTGCATGGGGGCTGGAGGCGGACGGTGTGACAATTTCCACCGGAGCGTCGCTGCTTCCTGTCTTCGTCCACTGGACTGATCTCCAGGGCGAACTTCAGTTTCTTGGTTGATGGCATGATGACATAGGGTTGATTGTGTGAGTATCAGGGCTTAGAAGAAGGTCAATGGAAAGTTTAAAGATTTCCAGAATGTGGGCTTAAAGGTTTCAAGGTGGTTCTCCTGATGTTCAGTTTGTTCCAGTGTTGAAGTGTAAAAGACCCCTGAATAATTAGGTGGGCGGCTGTACGTGTCCCGGATGCTGGCCTCAGTCACACCGGCGATGCTACAGCGAGTCTCCTGAAGCAGGTGCTGGTGTCTTGTCTGCCTTTCTGTTTAGAGCTCGCAGTAGGTTGCTGCAAACGCAGCAAGGCTCGCCAAGTGCTCCTCTTTCTTAAGGAAGATGCTCTACTTCCGCGACTTCCATCCACTTCGAAGAACTCTGGACCGCCCTCGACCTCAGCCTCCGAGGCTAGAGCATCCTCGTCCTCTGCTGCGGCAGGAAAGCGCGATGAACCAACACTTGAACCCTCTCCACTCACACTTTGGCGCAACCTGGTGACGATTGGTGCTGATGGGGCCATGGTGGGAGAAAGTGGTACATCTGTCGACCAGCATTTGGCTGGGAAGACTGGGTTGTCATCCAGGCTGGGGTTTCACGACTTCCTCCACTTGTTCGACGCCGTCGGCCGAGGTGTCATGAAGCATCGTCCTCATAATGACAAGAGCTCGGCGGCTGCTGACAAAGTGGAAGCAGAAGCGTCAGCGTCTGAGAGTGACTCAAATGTCGGGTCGGACGCATCAGATGATGATGGTGGACCGGCTGCAACTTCGTCGAACTCGAACCGCCCATTGAGATTGGACCTCTGGCTGCGCATGCTGAAGAAGATGCGCCAGATCTTCAAACGAGGCGCTTCTCGCAGCATTCTCGACAAGGCTCGCATTTGCACATGGATTGAGACTGAGATTCGATTTTGAAAGCTCTGTCGATTTTCGACGCAGGTGGCACTGGACTTCTCCTTCAAAACGCGTGGTGCTATCCAGGCCCCGTCTGCTATCAAATATGTGATTTATTCGTCCTCGTATTTGAAGCAAAGTCTCCGCCATTTTGGGGTTCGCCACGCAGCAGCAAAGCAATTACGTGATCACCTCATGGAGAGACGAGAGGGGGCGGCACCTTGGTTGAGGCCGCCTGCTTCCTGGCGGCATATAAATCAGGCATATTATTGATGCAAGCAAGTCTTTAAACTGCCGTTCGAAGTATCGTGAATATCAGATCCGAATCCTATCATTGTTTCCGAGTTTCCAAGCTAATCAGGACTCTGCTCCGTTGGCAGCACTTGCGGGACAGCCAGCTGCCAAGGCCCAGGCTGGTCCAAGGCGGAACCCGAAGTTGGCCAACAAACTTGAGAGGATAATGGAGCAGACTTGCTGCAGTGAGCTTGTATTCCAAGTCCAAGGTGTTTCTGACGTGTTCCATCAGTCTGGTGGCTTCATTCAAGTCGGAAGACTTGTCCAAGCGCCAGATGCTGTTTTCTTCTCCAAGCTTACAATGGTTTACAAACTGCACAGTTCGCTTGTGGCAGAACCGAAGAATTGGAAAGCGCTTGGAAACCTCCTTCCAGTCTTGGTCAATATACTGCTTTTCTTGTGGGATTTACCCGAAGATGTTCCGAAGCCGAAGCCGGCAGAGACAGAGCTTCGCCCTCGCCCTCGTGGCCATAGCCGTGGTGCTGGCCGTGGCCGTGGTGCTGAAGCCAAAACAGAGAAAGGACAGGTTGCTCCTAAGGTTGCTGCCTCGCCACCACCCAAAGCGTGGCACTGCATCTTTTGGTTTCTCACCACAGACTGGAAAGACAGATGCTTCAACTTCCTCTCATGCATGGAAATGTTCCTCATCTCTGGAACCTTCAAGAATGTTGTGTAGCTTGGCGCAGCATGCTGTTCTTTTCAAGAGCACAAGCGCATGAAAGCATGTCACAATGGTGAGAGTCAGAGTGAGAGTCAGAGTGAGAGTCAGAGTGAGAGTCAGAGTGTTTGCAGCTGAAGCCATCATGAGGCTGGATGGAGGAATTGATGCTCCGCACGGTTTTCAGAATGCCATGAAGAAGCGGACCCGTGCCAGTGTGCTTGCCTCTAGTGGGAAGCTACGGCAGGCAATGGATGGGCTTGGCGAATTCTTCTCCAAATTCTCTGAGCTTTTCCGTGAAAAAGTTCTGGAGGCCCCTGGTATTCATGTACCGAAAGCAGTGCTGGATGCGTGCAACGTTTGAAACATGGCTGCTGAGTAATGTTTTGACTTTTTCCTAACATCTCATTGCCTAACCCTGCTTCACCCGCTCTAACTTTGAAGCCTAAATCCTCAATCTTAACCCCAGTAACCCAGCCTGAGTCGGAACACCCAAAAGCCATTAGACTCCTCTAACCCATACCCGAATCTTAAATCCTAAACACCTAGACACCGTTGCAACACCACCCCCGTAGAAGTCGTCCGTTGTTCTGGAGAACTGCAACACTTGATGGCTGTGTGTCCTGGAGGCTTTGACATGAACACCATCCTTCAGACCGCACGAGAAACAAACTTTTCTGCGGATCTTCTGCCTGCGCTCACTTGCATACACGGCTGGATGCAGGACAGATACCCTTGGCATGACTTCCTTTGCAAGACCAACGTGGAGAAGATGCAACAACAATATATGCTGATGGTGAGGCCTGGTTTCTTTCAGGTCAGATTGTCATGCTTGCCTATTATTCAATAATGTCTCCTCACCTGTCACCGATTCACCGCCCCAATGTCACCGTAGTAGTCCCAGTCTTTACAGTCACAGTCCGCCGTTGCTGCGCCCTGTTGCAGGCACTGGTGGCGAATGGCCCAACACTCAACAGACAAGGACCAGGTGTGGTTGGAACCACGTCCTCGGCCTCGTGGGACTCGTCGCACGTTGGACTGGAAAGTTTTCTGGCGTCTCATCCATACCAAGAAGCTGTGGTACGGCCCGAAAGACGTGGATGTGCGTGCTTTCTTCTATACTTTCCACTCCCTCGGCAGTATTGTTAGCTCTTCTTGCTTGTGCGAATCAGCAGGCAGCCTGCTGAAGCACTTTTCACGTGGTAATCCAGACACGAGAAGGATCGTGGAAAGAACAATCTTGAGGCTGGCTGCTGTCTCAGGAGACGGCACTGACGACGCCATCATTTTGAGGACGTGGCTGGAGACAGTTGCTTCCCCGGACAAGCTCAATTTCATTGGTTCGAGCATGAAAGCTTACAATAAGAACTTGGAGCGCTGGCCCTTGGGTCAAGGAAGCAAAACAATCCACGGCATGAGGAAGGCTGCACTGAATAAGAAGGGCAGCAAAACGCAGTGGACAGTGAAGCGTGTCAAGAAGATTCCACGGGTTGCCGCCAAAGTGTTGCAAGTTGCACGGTTAAAGGCATCGTTGCACCGATGGGCCCGAGCAGCTGCAGGTCGGAAGAATGCAAGAGCTGCTCGCCGCTGAGATGACTGAGATGAGTGCGATGTCGTCACGTCGACCTCGACCTCGACCTCGATCTCGTTTCTTGGACGTCTCGCGAAGCTGCGAACGAGCAAAAAGACATTCAGTCACGATTCAAGAATTCAGGAATTGGGGTCAGCATTGGGCGGCTGGGGGCTGGGATTACTTACTTTGGACGACCCGACCCTCACATCAGACCCTCAAACCCGAATTGACCCGAATACCAGTGCGCCAATGTTGACTCCGGCCAGGTGACAAGCGGCAGCAGCAGCCGCTGGCCGCCAGCAGTGCTCTCCGGCCACTGCCGGCGGCGGTGGTGGTCGGTGGTCGGTGGTGTTGGTGGTCCGGTGTTCGCCGAGGTGGTGTGTTTCTAGTTTCTCGTAGTGTGTAGAGGAGGGTTGGCTCTTGGCGGTGGTTGCGACCAGTGGTGGCTGGTGGCAGTGGTGGTGGGTGGAAGTGGCGTCCAGTGGCGTCGTGGGGTCAACGTGGTCGTTGTCTAGTAACTAGTAAGTAGTACTCCGGGAGTACTCCGTAGTGGCAGCCGCCGGGTAGTAGGTTTAGGGGCCTAGGGGGGGGCCCTTTAAACAAGGGGAAAAAGCCAGCCCCGTTCAGGAGCGCCTGGATCGGAGGGCCTCGGACACTGCTGCGCGGCTGGAGGTGTGGGGCTTCGTTTTGCGAGTTCGGTTAGGGGAGCGTTACAGGGTTCTATGAGTTTCGGATTTATAAGGATTGAGGGTTCTTTTTGGCTCTATGATCAGAAAACCCACTGAAACCCTTCTTAAAACTCGTTTACGAACCCTTTAAGACCCCCAGAAGCACCTTACAAAGCCTTATAAATCAAAGGGCTCCAGTTACTTAAACAGTAGGTTGCTAGCCATATATTATTTCCCCCAGTAGCCCATCATTTAGGTAACTGGAGCCTTAGTAAATACAGCCGCTTCTTCGTTGGGAGGCTCTGCGCGTGGCGGACGCCGAGCGGGCTGCGCAGTTGGCAGAGCTGCTTCGGAACTTCGCCGAGCTCGGCGAGGCCCGCAAAGGCGCGGAGGTTAAGGACGAATAGTACCCTACAAGGGTTTACGGTTCATATACCATATAGGGATGCATAGTATAATGGTATGAGGCCCCTAATTACTTAATAGTTGAGTTTATGGGGTGTCCGGGCTAGGTTTGTATTTGAGGGATTGTTAGAAAGATTCTTCTGTTGTTCTGGGTTTGGGGGTCTTTGGGAGTTTTGGGGTTCGTAGGCCCTGTAGTGTTTGTGCCTCGGGATTGGTGATTTATGGTGTTGTGAACACTTCGTAGGGGAGAGTTTTATTGCAAATCCGCAGGGCGTTTCACCGGATGGCCATCAGGACAGTCAAGACTTGTTGTCAAGGTTACTCCTTGTTACATCAGGATGGCTGCCTTTCTTGGTCTAAACATCAACCAAACACCGCGCATGTACCCACAGTGTGCCCACGGAGACGAACACTCCGACTCCGACTCCATAGCATTGAATATAGGGAATGCTGGTGAAGTTGCTCGAGGGGTCCTTGCAAACATGATGTCATGTTCAGTGTTGAAGTACGGGGTATCGAGCTCTTGGGTTGCATGTGGGTACTTAGAAGTTTACAGGGTTTTCGTTAAGCAGTACTATACGGTTACAAGATATTAAAAGCCGAGGTTGTATATTCCCAGTCACTTGAAAAGTAAGTCACTTGAACCTGCCTGGGTATGCATTCTGAACAAAAAACCGTGCACCATCTGACAAACGCCTTCTGAAACCTTTTGTTTCGATCCAGCGCTCTGGATCAACAGCCCTCATGCCCAACACACCCCGATAGGGTTTAGGGTTTAGGGTTTAAGATCCTCAAACAACACATCCAAGTTGAACCCGTAAGCCCATAACGGAAACCATGTAGAGCCCTTCAGCGCCCTCTTAACACAACCCCTGCGGGAACGCTTACAGCAGCCCTTAATGGAACCCTTACAAAGGTCCTTTAAGGACCTGTGTCCAGGCCTGCAAAGTCAGCTGGAACAGTGCCAGTCCTCCACGAGGCCGCGTTTGAGAAAGTGGTCAGATGTGTTGTTCAGGGCTTAGGGTTTAGGGTTTAGGGCTTGGGGATTAAATGAGGGTTGCGTTTATGAGGTGCTAGGACCCCTAAACCCTTAACCCTTATACATATAGGGCGATTGGTCTGGAATGTTGCCTTTGGGCTTATGGGCTCAGCACAACGCTGAGATAATACTTGCAGAGGTTTGTTTAACGGGTGTACAGGGCTGTTACTCTTTGGACATTGAAAGTTGAACCTTAGCCATAAGCCCTGATCATGAGTTGTCTCAATCTGACTAGAATCTGGTTAAAGGACCTATCGCTAGTTGCAACCCCGAGCAAGGTATTCCTTACCATGCCCATACCGCAAAGAGAGCCATAATCCGACTTGCATAAGCCCCTGAGACAGATACACCTGGAAAAAGTTGGGCAAAACACCCTGAACAACCTAGAAAGCAGCTTCGTAAGGCCCCGCCTGGAGCCTAAAACCTTGGTCAGAGCAAGCCGCGAGGTTGACTTGACCTGAGATCCCGGATGCTATGAAGTCGTGAATGTGGATGTCGTGATCTGTTCATAGAGGCTGACGTTAAAATTTAGTGTTTCGACATCGAGCTGTCACGCTAAAAATCGAATGTAAACCTCCTATCCCCTTAAACCGTCATGAAACCCTCATCGAGCCCCGCAGCAAGCCCGAGACCTTTGAATGCAACCCTGTCAGCAGAGGGAGAAAGCCTTGAGTCTTACAGAGACCTCACACCTCGTAGGGACCCTTGCGCAGACTTTACGGAATCGGTAAGGTCTCCTTTAAGAGATCTTTAAGAGTTCTTTTAAGGGATCTCTAAGGGTTCCTCGAAGGGATCTATAAGAATTCCGTTAAGGGATCTTTACGATTTCTTTAGATCCGTCAGAACTTTAAAGGATCTTTCATTTTTTTGAGGGATCTGTATGGGTTCCTTTAAGGGGTCTTTAAGAATTTGTTTAATGATCTCCTTTAAGGGATCTTTTTTTTGAATTCCTTTTCGGGATCCTTCAAGAATCTTTTGAAGGATCCTTTAAGGGATCCTTTAAGGGTACCCGGGCCCTTTAAGGGATCCTTTAAGGGTACCCGACCAGGCTCCTGCAGGACTCCTCCCAGCGGACGGAGGCGCGATTGGAGAAGGCGGGGTCTCCTTCACTTCAACCGCGCTAAGGGGGGCTCTTCATTATAGTCGGAGGCCTCAAAAGGTGGGATGAAGAAGGATCCCTTATATCAGGGCTCTCATTTGGGAATATACCACCTACCTTCATCCCACCTTTTGAGGCCTCCGATATAGGGACTTCTAGGGATCTTCTAGGGTTTAGGGTTCAGGGTTTAGGGGTTTGGGTGTTCAAGGCTTGGGGACTTTAAAAGGCTCCTAAACCGTAAGCCCTAAACCTTGAAAAGGCTTCATTCATGGGTTGAGGGACCTCCTTCAAGGTGTCGCCGACAGTGTCGCCCTCTGTCCGGACACCGGTAGACATGGAGTGCTGCCGCAGGAAGGGCCATTAGCGTACGCGTTGTGTGCTTTGTATTTGCTCTTTGCTTCAAGGCGGAACATGAGATCGGCCACCCATTGTAGTTCCTTTTTGGGGTTACCTTATAAGATCCTAGTTACATATTTAGTTAAACCAAAAACAGGAACTACAATGGAGTACCATCCATCACTGTGCTCCTGGTGCTGACGGAGCTTGGAATGTGCCTAAGATCCAAGGGTAAAGGGAGGGACCCTTAATAAGGACCCCTAGGTATATACCCTTAATATAGCTATTATATAACCGTTATATAGCCCAGTATAGGGTAGGGGTCCCCGTTAAGGGTCCCTCCTTTTCCCCTTTGACAAGACGGTCGCCTCGAAGCTGGAGCGACTCAGAAGATGAAGGTACGAATGGGTGGTTGTCAAAACTAAGGTCCCCTTTTTGGGCGCCTCAAATATTAGGTGCCGTATTCTAATAAGGGCCCAAAAAGGGACTATAACTTTGACAACCACCCAAATGATGCAATCTGCTCGAAGGTTTGGAGCTTTAGTAGGTTTGCGCACATGGGTCATCCCAGCCTCAACTCTAAACCCAAAATGCCTCAGCCCAAACCCGCTAAGCAAAAACCCCAAACCCGCAAAACCCCTAAACCCTAAACCCGCACTCCAAGCCCTAAACCCGCAATACTCGTAAACCCCTCAACCCTAATTCGTGCTGAGCGAAGCCACGCTCCGAACCGTCTGGGCCTGCTCCCAGAAACGAAGAATCGGATCGACTTTCGGGTCGTGGGAAAAGTTTAGGGTTTAGGGTAAGGTTGAGAGGTTTAGGGGTGAAGTAGGGTGTAGGGTTTAGGGCTTTAGGGCGTAGGATCTGTAGGGATTAGGGGTTCAGGGTTTTTGTTGAAGGGTCTGTAAGGTTTAGGATTAGGATTTTGCATGTGGCTTCGCCACCCGACCCCTCACAGTCAAGCCTCTAAGGGTTCAGTCAATCGAGAGATCCGGCTTCAGGGCAGGGTTTTTCTTGTTTGGCGTCAACAATGCTTGTGGGCTTCCGGGCTTGGACAGGCGCATCCATCCTGGACCCCTGCACCCGGAAGTCCTTCAGGCTAAGTCGTGTCGACGCTGAAAGAGGAGATTCAGACATTCCTATGTCTAAGGGTCTTTGCTGAGCACAAAGTAACACACCTAAACCTCTAAGACGCTTTATGCCCCGCAATGCCGACGCCCAAAGAAGAGCAGTCAAGACTCGAAACTGAAAGGAAACAGCCGTAGCCCGAAGACAGCATTCCCAAACGCTTAAAGACGAACTCTAAGTTTCAGCCCAAAGTAACCAACCTAAACTGGAGAAGCCCAAAGACGGGGGCTTTTGGGCATCTCTTCTGTGATCCAACTGAACTGGGGCATCGTGGAGGTGATCATAGGAGGCCAAAAGGGGTTTAGCCTATGGGGGTTTTGTAGGGATTAGGATCCCCATAATAGGGCTCATCTTAAGGAATCCCTACCCCAAGAATCTTAAGCCCCCCTTTTGGCCTCCCATCAGGTGAGTGCCCTCGCATCGCAGAGCCATGAAGGCCGCGAGGGGGGGTTTTGGGCTTCGCAGCAAAGGCCTGGCTTTGAGTTGCTGTCCGGGTTTGGGTTTAGGGTTTAGGGGTTTAGGGTTTCGGGGTTTAGGGTTTTGTGTTTAGGGTTGGCTTTGTGTTGATGTATTGCTGTTGGCATGGGGTCTTGTATGGGGATTGTCAGGCTCTCGGAGGTTGTTGAGTGCTGTAGGGTTGTAGGACGTTCGGCCTAGGCTTTGATGGGGGATCGGAGTTGGAGTTTGGTCTGCGGGTTTGGGATTCAGGGCTTGTGGATGTGCCGCTCATGATTCTGTTTTCGTCCATAACCCGTGGACCTCCAACGACACCGTAAACTCCAAACGCTCCCATTCTAGAGCCCGTAAGGACAATCCCTCAAGAACACCGGTGGGCTGTCCAGGTAATTCACCTACGAACTTAAACCCTAAACCCTAAACCGGAAGCTGGAAAGCTGAAGCCCTGAACCCTTGTCGACTTGTGCGCCACGGGCTCCTGCCAGTGTTGCCAGTGTGGCCTCCCGCAAAACCCTAAACTTCCCGAACCCGAGAGCCCCTAAACCCTGAACCCCTACCTAACTTAAAAAAAAAGAGCCCCTAAACCCCTAAACCCTAACCCTAGAGCCCCTAAACTCGAAACCTTGAGCATCTGAAAGACGCGAAAGCCATCAACCCCGGAAGCAGTTTGTCCATCACTGGTCTTCATGGTGAATCCGCCAAAACCAAGAGACTCGACCAGAGCTTTGTTGAGCATACATAGGGGTCGTAATACTGAGAATAGGGTGTGATTAAAGTTCTACTGAGGAGCCCCCAGGAATAGTACGATTCATTGTCTAGAAAGCTTTCATGCCATGTAAGCACCGCAAAAGCTTTGCAGAGACCTGCTAAACAAATCATAAACCCTCAGGCCTCTAAACCAGAACCGTGACCGTAAACCCCAAGTAAGCCTTCAATCAAAAGGCCTAAAGCCCTGGTAAACCCCGGTTTAGGATTTAGGAACTTGGGGTACGGCCATACATCTTCAAACTCGAAGACGCAAAGTTCTAATCTTGTGCCGTCTTCGAGGCCTCGCGGAAATGAAGGCCTTTGCCCGCGATGTAGCAGACAAGGCCACACGACAACGCAGTCCCTAGCTTGTTCCTTAGGAATCATTCTTCAGTTGACCACTTTAAGGCTCCAAAGGGTCACGAGAAAGGGCATGTTTATTGTGGGTCTGAGGGGATTGAATTCTTTAATTGTGGATCTTTTTTTCATCCGGATTCATGGAGACCTCGCCGATAGGACTCTAATTCAGATGCATACGGTAGACTCAAGTAGACCTCTGCAGTGTGCAGGCTAACCGGGTTCCTGCACCCAGTTATCCATCGTTTACGTGCTTGACTGGATTACTGTCAACCTTTTATGGTGACAAGCTTCAGCCTTTGATGGGGCATTATAGTTTTGAATCTTATCGGTCTCGATATATGTGGTTGTCAATGTGATGGCCCCTTATTGGGTGCCCTAAATATTAGGTGCCGTATTATAACAAGGACCCAAAAAGGGACCCTAATATTGACAACCACCCATATCATCATGAAGCTCAACCTGCAGAACCCAAGATTCCTAGGGCCGGTGGGCTTAGTAAGTAGGTAGCAAGTAGACTTATAAGCACCCTAAAAGGGACCCTAATTGGGGTTGTGGTACTTATAAGTCCCTAAAATAACCAGCTACTAAGTCCCCCGTTGAGGGACTAAAGGCTTGGAGAGCAGGATGAGGTATGAAACGTAGGTGCAACCCGATCGAGAAGGAGAAGCCACCTTCGCAACCACTTCATCGAAAAGGTGGCGCAGAACTTCTTGAAGCCTACACCAGCATAGGTTTTAGGATAGGGTTTTGGAGTATACTGTATGTAAACTATAGTTACACTAAGGAACGAATCCACATTGAAGCCTAATTACACTAGACACTCCGCCTGGGACTGTCAGGCTGAAACCCCGAAAGGCTTCAGCCAAACACCTGGGGTTTCAGGTTCAGGGCTTAGGGTTTAGGGCTTATAGGGCTTAGGATGTATAGGGCTTAGGGTTTAGGCCTTGTAGGGCTTAGGGTTTAGGGCTTAAGGAATCCTGGACTAAAGCACAACAATGTCAAAGATTCGTCCCTCGCTGATCATGACAAGGCTCCCTCATAAGCCCACCGGCCCCAGGAGCCTTGGGTTCTACTTGGATGGTCCCCTAGTCCAATCCCTAAACCTGATCACTGAATCCGCAATCCCGAGACTGTTACAACTTGCGAAGCACTTAGAAAACCTTGCAAAACCCTGAATCTGAACCTAAAGTCCGTTTAGAAGCTTGGGAGATCCAAAGACCCGTCGCTCGAAACGAATTATATCCCACCCTAAACCCCGCCCCCTTTTGTTGGGGGACAAAACCCCTTATGTTTGTCCGTAAACCCTCAAACTAAAACAACATAAACTCACATAAATAGCATTACACCCTCAAAGTAACCCTTACAGATTCCTGCACATGCGGCCGCAAGGCAGCGGCCCAGAGCCGCGAACAGCTCGAGCAGCGCGCCGGGGAGCTGAAGGACATTTTCCATTTTCTCTTGGATCTTTGGGAACGAGGGGTAATGAAGGAGTCGGGGAGCTTGCTGGGGGTTGGTGAAAATTAAGACCTAGTAGTCGAGTATATAGGTAACCTTTAACCTTTCTTGGGTAGTATAGTCCGTATATAATACTTGTATAACTATATAACCAAAAAGGTTAACCTTTAGTTCCCATGATACCCGACAAGCAGGAAGAGCTTTGAGGTTTTAGGCGATAGGCTTTCCAAGATGAGCGAGCTTACAGAGAGATTTTGAACTTTGTTTGTCACAGGGATTTTCCTGAGATCTGACAAGCAGACTTGTAGGGGCGCAGGCTGCAAAATATACCTGAGGTTACTCCTCATTGTTCCTGATATTTCTATCCTACAATATGATCGCTAATATTCAGACCCCTTTGTGAGGCGTTCAGAGATCATGCTTTAGGGTTCCGGGAACTGATGTTTCGTGGGTTGGCTGTTAAGTTCTAGAGTACATAGTTAGAATTTCACGATCCCGAGTTTAGGTTTCAGGTTTCCTATAGCGGGAATTGCGTTTCGACAGGCTGAGGTGGTTTGCAGTAAGTGGTCCATTAGTCTGCAAAGCGCACGGTCAGCATACGTTGGCGATGGTGGTTGTTCTTGTTCGGATGAAGACGAAAACAAGGAACGATGGTTATGGCATGATGGTGGATGATGGTAGTTTAGTCGCTGTGACGATGGGTACAGTGATGGTGGTGATCATGGCAACGGCAATGATGGCGATCAATAATGACATCCAGGCCCTAAAGCCCCAGATCGTAAACCCTGAACCCTTCACCCTCAAAGCCTTAAATCCTAAAAATGAACCCCAAACCTTATCCCTAAGCCTTAAACAAACCTTAAACCCTACAGAATTCTAAACCCCAAAGCCCTTACCCGAATCCCCAAGTCCTAAACCCGAATCCCCCAGTCCTGAACCCTAAACCCAAAGCCCCACCCGTACAGAACCATTACGGGATCCTTGAATGTCGGGTTCCTGTAAGGGACCGACTCGTAAGGGCTCCTTGTAACCCGAAACGTTGCAGAACCCTCAAAAGGACCCAACCCGGAACCCGTAAACTCTGATAGTACCCTTAATTAAGCAAGGGATTTCTGCAAGGGCTTTATGAGAGTTCAATATACTCGAGGTGCCTTAATAATTTCATTTGGTTTGGAGGTACATGATACGGTGGATGATATAAATCCTGCATTTCCTTAAGGACCCTAAACTATTGGAATTATGGTATATTCCTTATTATGGGTAATGCAGGATTTATATCATCAACAGTAGGACTAACCTCAGCCGTCAATCGTGATTCCGCAAATGTGTGTGATGACTGGAGGAGCTCGTGGAGCAGCGCAGCTCCGAGAGCTCCTCCCGCATGGAGGCCGACGGAGTTTGTGTGGCCTTTGGATCTTAAACCCTAAAACCCTAAACCGAAAAACCCTGCACCCTAAACCCCTAAACCGAAAACCCTAAACCCTAGACTTGACTTAGGAGTTTAGGGTTTTGCTGTTTTTTGTTTTCTTGGAGGGGGTGAATATTTACGACCTTAGGTTTAAGGTTTAGGGCTTGTTCCGTCGGGGTTAGTCTGCTGTACTGAACCCAACATCCTGTTCTAGTTGTTGAGGCCCCTGTTCTCGGCATTTGTTGTCGGGTTCATCGCTCAAGCTGTTGGGGGCTTGGGAGTTTAGTGGTCGGGAGTTTAGGGGCCTCGTTTGATGAGCTCTTTCATGCCGTAACACTCTAAGATCTTAAAAAATCCCAGGCGCCAAAACCCAAGTCAAACAAAACCCTATGTAACCCTTAAGAAAAGCCGCTGAACCAAGCACGTAAACCCTTGCCCTTAACAACCCCAAGCCAGAAAGACACGAACCCTGACGCTGTATAGCCTAGCCTCATTCCTAAACCCTCCCAGTGCTACAAAGCCCAAAAGCGCTTAACCGCAACACCTTCAAACTAAAATTGCACCCAACAGTCCTAAATGCGAAATACCTTCAGCACCCCGGTTACTCCTACTAACCCCCGGCAAGCTGGAACTTTCCAAAACCCAAACCCTAAAACCCTTAAGTGCTCGAACCCTGAATTCTGAAACCCAGAGCTCCAAAATTTAACCCCCCAACCCCCAAAAAAGCTCGAAAATTTCATCCCCAACCCCCGACAAACCCAACAAACACAGCCCTTATTTCAGAGGCTGCCAAGGCCGCAGATGCTGAGCAAAACGCCCGAGCAGAGCAGCCGCCGGGACTTGAAGCTTGCTTCTAAAAGGGCTTAGGATTTAGACTTTAGAGTTATAAGTAGGGTCATAAGTCCCCTAATGTGGGTTATAGTATATAGTTACCCTACTTTAAAACCCCACTAATAGCTACCCATTAGGGTATGGGCTTAGGATAGTAACCCTTATTATAGTACCCTTATAGTACCCTTATAGTAGCCTTATGCTAGTACCCTTATAATAACCCTTACAGATCTCTTTCAAGGACCCCTATTCAGACTTTAGAGTTTAGGGTATGGGCCTCCTTGAGCTTTTACGGTTTTGGGATTTCAGGGTTTGGGCTTTGGGGATTGAGGTCTCTCTTGCTGGCTCTCTCTCGCTCTCTCTGTCGCTCTTCGTATCGGTTTGTGTTTTGAAAGGTTTCGCATGGAGGGTCGACACTGGGTTCAGGCGTTTAGGGTTTTGCTGCTTCGAGCATGGACTCTTGGGCTTGGGATGATTTCGGCCTCTGGCAGGGAGAGTTAGGCTTTCGGGGCCTCGGCCCTGGGAAGCCTTCCACGTTTCAACGTCGCTTGTAGCTTGCACGGCTTTAAACCCTAAACCCTCAACCCTAAACTTTCCGTAAACCCAAATCCGAAACTCAGCATGGAGTTCTTGCCCTGAAAGCTGTCGAAACCGGGACCATGCGCCGACCTATCGAAAGCTGCTGAGATCAACTCCGCCGAGGCTTGCGAGAGATCTCGTCGATCTGCGCCGAGGTATCCACTTTCAGGTTCAGGGTCTGAGGCTTAAAATTCATCATCGCTGAGGGTTTCAGGGTTCAGGGCTCGGGGCCAGTGTTCGAGGAAGTGTTCCAGAGTTCAACTCCTGACGTCACACTTGCAATTGTCACGGCGACCAATAGCAGTGGACAACGATGGTGGTACTGAAAAGGCTGGTCTTTCTAGTCGAGCAGTCTCTGGACGAATGTAAGCAAGGAGGATCCTCAAGCCTACAGTCATGAGATCATCAGCAGTGGCAGCCGAAAGCAAGTATCAACTTGTTGTTGGCTTTGTTGGTCAGTCGTCGTAGTGGTGATCGTGTCGCTGCAGAGGCCGGAATCTTGGTCGTGTGTGGTCATGGTGGTGGCTGCTGCTTTTGGTTGTTGGTGGTCGTGGCGGTCGCAGTGCTCGCAGAGGCTGTCATGGTGGTTGTTCCTGGCGCACTGATGATTTTCAACTGTCGAGAAGGTTGTTTCTGTGCTTCTTGACGCCGTTGTTGCTGATGTTGTCGCTGTGGCCGCTGCATAAATACCAACGGTGAATATCAATGTTCATAGTGATAGTATTAACGCTTAACTTGGAACAAGAGAATGTGACGGCTTATTGGTGGTATCCTCTGCTTCTCTAAGTTCTGCCTTGTGGGAGAGGCCTGATGTCCGAGATCGAGAAGTGTCTGGCAGCCGACCGGCAGGGACCTTGGGCAGGGTTTAGAATTTGGAGGTTGCGGGGTTTAAAGTTAAATTACCTGTTCTATGTTTGCACTTTTCAGTTTGAATTGTCGATTTGCCGGGGGGGGAGGCGCTTCCTGCGCGGTCTGGCCAATACTGTATCCAACTGGGCCGCCAAGTGCCACTTTAACCGGAGCTGTCGTCTTCTTGGGTTGGTCAATGTACATCCCCAGGTTCGGCTTCGGTCAGCTTCGAGCGCTTGAAATCTCGACTGCGGACTTTGGGTCTCAATTGGTGCTTGAGTTGCTGCAGTTTGTGAGTGAGGAAGAATGCTTGGCTGAGGAACGCTTAAGGTCGCGTTTCCGCGAACGAATACGCTATAAACTCACGACGCTTTTGAGGAAGGTCCGGTGCCTCCTCCAATCGGTTCCGGGCATATGTAGCTAGGCTTTATGCAGCTCAGTGTTGTTTGGTGGGGAGGGGTGTTCGGACAGGGTTTAGGGTTGGTTTGACTCGGAGTGTGCCTCGAGCTAAGCATACAGCACATCCCGAAGCTGAGCAGCATGTTATGCAGTGCAGAAAGCGCTGTTTTCCGGAGCAGCTGCGGCAAATCCGAGCCAAGACCCGTTGCCAAGAACATGTTGTACAGCCCGAACGATCATGTATCCGAAGACTTCGGTGCATAAACCTCAAAACCCCAAGGCCCAATGGCTTACACCCCGATGCAAGCAGACCCTGTGCGAGGCAGCTGGAAGATGCACTCAAGCGAAGCAGCCAGGAGGTTGCCAGATGTGGCGAAGGCAGAGCTGCTATATAGTGGGTCCATACACACAGAGGTGTATGTAGAGACGGCTTCGTCGTATGTGTCTGTGCGTACGTATGTGGATGTGCGTATGTGTGTGTATAAGTATACTATACATACAGACCTCAGAGGCCTCGGAGAAGTCCGCAGCTTCGCACGCGAGACGGCGGAGAAGGCATCCGCGCAGCTCAAGGCCCCACTCCCAGGGGTTCAGGGTTTGGGGTTTCAGGTTGGTTTAGGGTTTGGGGTTTCGGGTTTTGGTTTAGAGTAGATGAGAGGTCAATAAGAAGTTTACGAATTCCTAAAAAGCTTTTTATGTACAGGTTTTCGGGATTTAGGGTTTAGGGGATTGGGGTTTAGGGGTTTCAGGAATTTGGGGTTTTCGGAATTTAGGGTTTAAAAACAAGGGATGTAGGGTTCAGGGTCTAGGGCTTCGAGCGATCCCTTGGGGTTCAGGGATATGCGGCCAATAATAAAAACCTAGTAACTTAAGGGTTCTTTTGACCTGGAAGGGTTCTATAAGGGATCTATAAGGGTTTAGGGTCTACTTGGAGGATCAGGGGGCCTGGCCAATAATACAAACCTAGTAGTAGAGTAGGTAACCTTTAACCTTTTTTGGGGTCTTAGGGTACCCTTAAGGGGTTCCTTTAAGGGATCTAGTAGGGGTTCTATAAGCGGCTCTTAGTAGTAGAGTAGGTAACCTTTAACCTTTTTTGGGTAGTATAGTCCCTATATAATCCGTATATAACCAGAAAGGTTAACCTTTAGTTCCCCATGATACCCGACAAGTAGGAAAAGGCATCTAAGCATAAGCATCCTACAGTTTGAGATGTCGGGAATCCTCGTTTAGGTTCTTCTTCGACTCCGCCGGGTTTCTTCTGTTATGACTTCTGTGGGTTTTCTTATTTCGGGTCAAGTCTTCTCTCATTCCTTTGCTCTTAATTGCTGTAACCTAATAATATGCAGAGAGTGCGGGTCTCTTTCTGGGTCCTTGTTCGACGATTGATGAGGGTTTGTGTGGAGATTCCAATGGCTTGTTGAGAGCTTAATGTGTGGTATTCTGGTTGACCAGCTTGCTGTTTACCACGGCCAGATAATGAGTGGTACCTTTATGAACTATTGCGGGTGTGGTTGCGAAAAGTGCCTCTACCAGATCCCATCTAAGCCATCATCTGCGGTTCGGGTTGTTGTTGCTGTAGGAGTACGGCATCGAAGGGAACGTTTGGGGTTCTCAAGGTCCTGGTTGTGTTGCTTAGGGCTTAATGTTTAGGTACGTTCCGTGAGGATGAGGAGCCCACACTGAAAGCCACAAATATGTTTGGACCTTCGAGTGTGGTAAGCTTGCTAAGGCTTTTCGAACACCGCATGGGTTTAGTCATCTTCGGAAGTCTGAGCAAAAACAGACGCCACACGCTGAAAGTGACACACGCAGTCAGCGAGTAGCAATAGTTGGGCATGGCTCCCAAGACCACTCGAGCAAACGAGAAACGGGGCCGACCTGCCACTGGGCTTGAAATTTGATCTTTTGCCGCACACCTGCCATGTGTATAGATGTCAAATATGAGGCCAAACTATCAAATCAGAGGCCAAAGAGTCCTGCGTTGCGGTGCAGCCGTCTGTTCGTTTCGGCGGGCAGGCTTTGAAGAACCGCCTAGAAATGTCTGCAGGCTTGCGTTTTCAGCAGTGATTAAGATGCCATTGGCAGGATTAATAAAGTTGGCAAGCTCATAGGGGGTCTCAGCCTCTCAGCCGGAACTTTTGTCAAAGCCCGTTGAATCTGGGTGAGGACGTGTATATAAGTTCATGCGTACAGATACAGATAGATGTACCCACGTACTTGAAGTTTCGATTTATTCATGTTGCAACCCCAGAGCCAAACCCCTCAAAGCTCTGAAACCGAAAGCCCTGACCTTTTAAACCCGGCAACCTTAGAACTAAGACTCCAAATCCAAAATCCTAAATCCCGAAACTGACCCCTGTAGCAAGCTTCATAGTAGCCCTTATCTCAGCTTCTTGATTATAGCTCCCTTAACATTAAAGGGCAGCCTCAACCCTAAACCCTAAACAAGCCTTGAACTGAAAGAAAGCCCGAAAAACCCTAAACCCCAAGCAAGCCTTGAAAGAAAGCCCGAAACAAAAAAAAAACTATACAACTCTCAGCAAACTCACGTACTGTCGAGGAAGTCCTGGAGCTCCGAGCCGGGGAGCTCAAGGCGCCGTATGCGCTGATCAAAAAGGGAGCCTTAATGGGTTAGAGGGTCGTTAGGGGTTCAGGGTGTAGGGGTGTACTTTATAGGGGCCTTAATGGTTAGACTAGGATTTAGGGGTGTTTGATAGGGGCGTTTATGATTAGAGGAAGGTTTTGGGGTTCAGGGTTTAGGGGTGTATTTTATAGGGGCTTAATAAGGAACCCTCAGGAATAGTGTTGGCAATCATTCCCGCTTCTACAGTATGCTTTATGAGGCATTTACTGGTGTTATTGGGGTTGATAAGGCCGTTTACTGGGTTGTAAGGGCCTCTACAAGGTTTTCAGTGTTTTTACGGGGTTGTATAATTGGTTGTTTACAAGGTTTTTTATAGGGCTGCTACAGGGCTTTATGCTTCACTTCAGGGTTGTATGGCTGTGTTTGAGGTTGCTATAGGCTCTTATGCAAATTCGGTAGCCTTTCTGTCCTGATGCAAAAGTTCTTACGGCCAGGATTCCTGACTGCTGAGGTTTGGCGGTATCTGGCTCTTACTGCCACTGACTGCTCCAGGTATGATCCTTCACGACAATTGCCTTGTGATGTCCTGTGATGGCAAGGTCAACTCGGAAACTTCGGTTCGACATTTGCACGCACAGTGCAAACCGAAGGGAGATGGCGCCTGGAGACTTGGACGGCGACGACATCTTCTTCAGCTTCTGGAAAGAACTGCTCGTTGTCCTGAGGGCGACCCAGGCGCCCCGCGCGGGTGCGAGGGCGAGAGCTTTCCTTAAATTGGTTCGCCACATGGCTTGCCCACGTCGGCCCAGCAGGTGCTCTCGTGTTTGAAATGGGCCTTTGATTCTAAGCCTAAACTTTGTAGCACATCCCGTCGGCCCCTAAGGGGTCCTGGGTACCCCGAGTTCGGAGTGGAGGCCACTTGCGATGTTACTCGAGGGTGTTTGCTCACCTCGAACTAGGAAACTAAGCTATAGTATGTGTGGACCATCCTGAGGATGGTGACGTTCGTTGGATCATCATCCCCTTATATAAAGCAGCACTCTGTCAGACAGCTCTTTCATAACTTGACCCCTGCACCCTAAACGTTGACCAGTTCCTCAAACTTCCTCCGAGTATAAACTCTGGGGGCTCAGGAAGCAAAGGTAGGGTTCTAAGCATTAGCTGGACTGTAAGCAAATAAAAATTAAAGATGGCTCACTTATAACCGAGAACCCTACTTACTAAACCCCCTGATCCTATAAGCAAGCCTTCGCGACGGTACCTTCGAAACTATTGCTTTCAGCTCATAACCTCAAATTCAGGATCACCTGGACCCGAATCCCCATTGTTCAAGCCCAGAAAGCACCCTTAAACCTCATAAACCCCCCCCAAAACCCCAAACCCTACACCCTATAAACCCTTATAAAGCCCCAAACCCTAAACCCGAAAAGGATCCCATCTCTCACTCTCACTCCTGGGATGCTCAGGAGCTCTTCGAAAAGCGCGCCGGCGAGGGCGACGTCAAGCTGGAGGCGGACAGGGAGTCAGTTCAGGTTTGCATGACCCTAAGGACTCTAAACTATGGGAACTATGGTATATTCCTTATAATGGGTAATGCAGGATTTTGTCCATCAACAGTATGGGGGGGCAAATCGCTGCGGATACTGTGTTTGGGTTTCTCCTGTCGTAGTTGTAGTTACCTAGTAGTATAAGCCGCCCAGACACCCTGTTCTAATGATTATGGCCCCTAGGCTTTCCGATTCTGGGTTTAGTGTAGATTTCCTCACAGAATCCAAGTCACAGAGGGAGAAGGGCAAGTTTCCGAAAGGAAGGGGTCTTACATATACGTGAGTATATATATATATATATATGCTCGCAGAAAGTACTTTCCGGAAAATAACACACTCATATCTACATATACATATCATGTTGTTACATGTACATATGTAGCTATATACATCTTATATATATATATGTACATATCTATGAACGCTAATGATACGTTGGGGTTTTTATCCTCTCGGAGTTCACTGAGGCCATGTCTCGGAAGTGCGAAGCTTGATTGTTCTTGTTTGGCTTTCGCCGCAGGAACAGGGTTTTGGGTTTAGGGTTTGTGGGTTTTGGTTTAGGGTGTAGGTTTTTTAGTTTGGGTATGGTGTTTAGAGTTTTGGGTTTGGGTTCAAGGGTTCAAGGTATAGGGTATTGGGTTTGGGGTTTCGGGTCTCTGGTGCCGTATTTTCTCATTGTGTTTGCGGCCGCCATGTGTCTGCTGAAGCACGAGAAATCCCGTTAAGGCCAGAATCTCAGACCCACTCCAAACAGCGAGTCCCCAACCCTACAGTAGAAGCCAGAAAGTTGGAACATGGCTTTAGGAGGATTAGTGCTAGGATCCCTTATACTTTACCTTAAGGGCATGAGGACAATGATGTTCCAACTTTCTGGCTTCTACTGTAAACTGTCCTGTCAACCCGCCACCTGAAATCCAGAACTCCAAAACCCCATGTAACATGTAACCCTAAGCGTCAACCCTGAACTCCAAACCCTGAACTCCAATCCTTGAACTTCAATCCGGAACTCAAAGTCGCTCCGTGACTCCCAAATCTCAAACCCCGAAAGGGGTTTAGGCTTATAAGGAACTCTGATGGGCCCCAATCCCTGCTCACCACCAAACCCTAAGCCCTAAACCCTAAACCTAAGCCCGGATAGCTACACCCTCAGGCTTAAACCCTTAACCCGAAACCCTCAGCCCTAAACCTTGAACCCTCAGCCTTAGACCCCATGAACCCTCCAGCCCTGAGCCCTAAACTCCAAAGCCTTCTCGCAGTCCGGTGCTGAAAGGCCCTCCGTGCCCAGCAGCGAGAGCTGCGTGAGCAGGTTGGTGAGGCCTGTATCCCAAGCATCTAGGGTTTTAGGATTTTAAGCTTTAGTGGGGCTTAGGGTTCCTTAGGTATAGGGTTTTAGGCTTCGGGGGGGGGGGCGTAGGGTTCCTTGGGTGTAGGGTTGAGGGCTTCAGGGGTTTAGGAGTTTAGGATTTAGGGTTGCGGGGTTCAGGGTGCAGGGTTTAGGGTTCTGGGGTTTAGGGTCGAGGGCTTAGGGCTCCTTATGTGTAAGGTTTCAGGGTTTAGGGGAGGATATGGGTCGGGTGTTGTGGGCAGAGTTTAATCTGCAACTGCCTGGCGCACCTTCCGCGCTGTAGCCGAGTGGTGTGTCCAGCGAGCTCAGAAACCGGGCTTGCTGGAGAAGTTGGCGGATGTCGACGACTTCGGCCAGTACAAGTTCGGCAGAGGCCAATTTACTAAGCCTGAGGGACGAGCAGAGTGGCAAGAAACTCATCAAGCATCTCCGCACGGGGAAGTCTGCGGCAGCTGGGACACCGGAGGAGGAATCACTGTAGGAAAGAGTCAGTTCGGGCTTGTACTTAAGTTTACCTCGAAGTTCAAAGGTTTGAGGCTTTAGCGTTGAGGAAAGTATCTCTGCAAGCCCTGAGGTGGAGCGTCAATTCGTTGTAAGATGATGACAGCAAGCCTCTCAATTCCAAGCCGAACACCCAACACCCTGACCCTAAGACCTGAAGTTCAACAAACAGCCGGAATTTCCCCTAATCCCTGAACCCTAAGTCAACGTCCTGAACCCTTAAGTCTAATAATCCCCGAAGCCCTTGTCAAAACCCTCCGCATGCTAGAACCCATAGAAACCCTCCCTAAACTCCAAACCTGGCACCCACCTAAGACCCGTCATCCTCGACCCTTCTCAAAACTAGCTAAAGTCTCCATTGAGCTTTCTTGGGTTACCTTGTAGGATCCTATAAGTAGAGTTGGTTAGTTAAACCGAAAAAGAAATCACAATGCAGACTATAGGTGACCCCCAAACCTTAAATCCCAAGCGCCTTCTATTAACCCTGATTTAAGGTTAATAGACCTGAACTCCTAAACCCTAAACCCGCTGGGTGACCCGTAAACAACTATATGATACTATAGTTATAAGAAGGAACCTCAAGGAGTCATAGTGGTAATTGCTACTCCTCCCAATTACTGTCTGGTTCTTAGTAGTGAATGGGGGAATGGATTATGGAGACTACTATTGAGGATTATGTAGGGATCCATTCCCCCATTCCCTACTAAGCACCAGACAGATGACTAATGCAACCCTACTTGGAGGTTCATGGGTAGTTATAAGTAGGGTTATAAGTAGGGTAACTATACTTATTAGCCATATTGGGGGACCTCATAACCCCACTTATAACACCTCCAAGTAACACCGCATGCGCTCAGGTTGGCCGCAACTGCGACGACTTGGCCGAGGCACGACGAGGTGCGGGGGGAGTCGCTGGGCCAAGCAGAGTCGAGGAACTGCAAGGGGTTAATATAGAGCCTAATAAATACTAATACTGTTTCTTTTTTTTTGTGGGTGGATTCCTTGTAAGGGTAGTATAATATACCCCCAAAACCCTATTCTAATTATTAAGGCCCTATTAGGTTCCTTAAATCCTGTATAAACTCTAGCCTTTCAGTACCCATAAGCCAGTAGTCGGAGGCGGGGGTTTACGGGTTAGGGCTCAGGATTTGCAGGTTTTAGGGTTTAGGATTTAGGGTTTAGGATTTAGGGACGTGTCCTGCTCTCCCTCGGTGTTGAACTCATTATTTCGGGGTTCAGGGCTTAGGGTTAGGGTTTAGGGTTTATCAGGTTTAAGACTGGCCTCAGACCCGACGCGTAAAGCCAAATTGGTGCATTTCTTGGTTTTGGAGGAGGGGTTGTCCTTAAACCCTAAACCCTCAAAGCCTTTTTTTGCATCCGGGCTTTGGGAAGTAGGCCCCTGAAGCCCAAATTAAACCCCTCAACCAACATGGGGGCTGGGGGAGTAGACCACACGGTAGCTACAGTACCATCATCCCAATCACCATCAGCAGAATCCTCAGGCTCAACAGGTCACCAGCACCACCGCCGCCGCTGCCTCTGCCACCCCCAAGTGCCACCTCACAGTTGCCGCCGCTGCCTCCGCCTCCACTGCCACCCCCCAGATCCAACCCCCACCCCCACCACCACCACCACCACCACGCATGCAGCGATCTTTCGGGGACCGCGGCCTTACCCATCGATGTGACATGTAACTATTGCAGCAACAACTGGCCGGTTTTGGCTGATGGTGTGACCGGAACTAAGACGAAGATCGCCTTCGCATCATCGCGGCTTGGGCCCAAGCCCAGGGCGATGCTGCGGATCCAGCGTCGACGGACCCTGTTTCTGCCGCTGGCCACCGTTAGTCATCTGGCTTGCCATGCGTGGGCGCTCTGCGTATTGGATCCTGGTACTTCCTATCAATTTGGGACTTGGACTTCTCTGGATTGGTCAAATCGCAAGCAGGGTGGAAGCGCCCTGGCACATCTGATAAAACAGATGGGTAGTTGTCAAAATTGTGGTCCCTTTTTGGGTACACTGGAATATTAGGTGCCGTACTATATTGGGGACCAAAAAGGAACCATGATTTTGACAACCACTCAGATGAAGCTTTTGAGACATTTGTTAACTTACCAGCACCCTACGCACACCCATTAATTGAACCCCGAAAGACACCAAAGAACCGACGGCATTCCTAAAACGCACTCGCGAAACCACCCCCGGAAAGAACTTGAAACCTACACCCTGAACTCCCTAAGCCCTACTTAAGCCCCTCCCCCCTTCAAAAAAAAAGAAGATTTCACATAAAAAAACAAAGAATGCAAGCAGGACATAACCCTCAACAAAACAGAAAAAATCACATAAAAAGAACACACACAAGACATAACACACCTGAAAGCGCAGGGCTCCTGGCCGATGTCGAAGAAGCGCGGACCTTCGACAGAAGGCCGGTAGAGTTCACCTGGGGTTCCAAAAACCCGACTGTTTTGAGGGTTATGCCCTCTATAATTAAGGGGTCATAACCTACAAAACTACAAAATATGCTGTTTTAAGGGTTATGCCCTCCATAAACTAAGGGGTCATAGCCTACTATTTTGTAGGGTTTGGGGAGGGGTCATAACCTACTATTTTGTAAGGTTTGGGGATACAGGCAGGGCTTACGTACAGGGCGTGAGGTTTGGGGCTTATAGGGATTTGAGGGTTCATAGGGCTTCTAGGGTTTTGGGGTTCAGGGCTTAGGCTTTGTGGCGTAAGGTTTGGCGTCTGGGGCTTCAGGGGTTTACGGTTTAGGAAACTACTAGGCTTGCAGGGTTTCTGGTTTGGGGCACTTCGGGATTAAGGTTTTGGGTTTCGGGCGCTTTCTTTTGTAGGGGGTTTGCCGGTTCGGGTTTAGTCCTGATCTTGGTTGTGTTTCTTGCTTTTGGGGGAGGGTTTGGTGCTTTAGGGTCGAAGTTGTGGGGGGGTCAGCCGTTTGGGGCTTCCGGGATTGGGGTTTAGGGCCTAGTTAGGCTTTATAGAGTTTTGTCGTCAGGAGCCTTGAAAACCTGTGCGGCAAGGCCCAAATCCGAAACCCCATCTCCCCCAGGGCCCAGGCCCTTGAACCCGAAACCCAACAAAGCATTAGATCCCGAAGCTCTCCGAAGACATCGAACACAAGGAAGCCCTACAGCCCTTAAACCCCTTGTAGACCAGAACCCCTAAACCCCTCAATGACTCAAAGCCCTTCAGCCGCATAGATCATAAATAAGCCCCCTGCAAACAGGAAACATGAACCCCCAAACGGCAAACCCTGAAACCTTTAAGCCCTTAAGCCCTAGACCCTTCAGCCGCATAAGTCATAAAAATAAGGCCCCTTCAAAAAGGCAAGCCCATGACTTGAATTATATAGGGGCTCATATTATGATTTAAGCTATATTCCTTAATTAAGGGGTATTGGGCTCTCTGGGCAGAAAGGCAAGACGATGCCCTCCAGCGCCTTGCAGCCCGCGTCGACCGCCTTGGGGCCTCCTCGGCCGAAATGTCGCAAGGCCCTGCTTTTGGGGGAGGTTTAGGGTTAGGGTTCGGGGTTTAGGCTTAGAGGGGGTTTTGGGGCTTCGGTTTTCGGATTTAGCCTATATTGAGTTCAGGCTTTACGCAAGGGTGTTACAAGGTGTTAGGGTGGTTTCCTTGTCTTGGTTTTGCATGGGGTGTTTAGGGGTTTTTTTGCTGCCTTTTTGAGCGTGAATTTGACGGGGAAGGGTAGTGACATACGGGGCACTCACACTGTCTATAGAGCTCGTTTGAAAGAGTTTTAAGGTGTAGGGTGAAGGGTTTACAATAGGGTTTTTCAAGTTACGGCCTAGGGAGTGTTTTGCAGCGTGTTTACGAAGTGATTTAGGCGAAGCGATTAGGGGTTTAGGGAAGGGCTTCTGGGATTGGGATCAGAGTTTGTTGGCTTATAATACGGTTAGGGTTTTAGGTGTATACGCGTTTGTACAGGGTTTTTAAGTGCGTTGCTAGAGGGGGTGTATCTGCTTGGCTTGTAGGCGATTGATGTGCCGATGGGGGCGAGGAGGGGTTGGGGCTTGGTATCCAGGATTCAGGGTTTAGTGGTCAGGGTTTAGGGGTTTACTGAGGTGGGTTGAATGGGGGCCTTAGGGTATTGTCAGTGTGTTGAAATGTGGCCATCGTCATCTTTGTTTTGGCCGCTGGGACCCCAAAAGATGTCGCCAGACTGGGTAAGAAATGGCACCCAGAGACTCCAATACCCCTTAATTAAGGAATATTCCTTAAATCATATTAAGGATCCTACTATAATTTAAGGAATATTCCTTAATTTAGGGGTTTTGGAGTCTCTGGGCAATTGCCATGGCCCTCCGAGACTACGCCGAGACCTGGACTGACAACGATGCGTGGCTCAACGATGTGTGTCACAGGAGGCCAAAAGGGGTTTTAGCCTATGGGGGTTTAGTAGGGATTAGGGTTCCCATAATAGGGCTCATATTAAGGATTCCCTACCCCAAGAATCTTAAACCCCCCTTTTGGCCTCCCATCAGTGTGGCTTCAAGAATTGCAAGATGCCATGCATGTGACAAACCTCGCAGCTGTGACTCTGACTAGCTTGGCAGATATTCGGTCCTTTTGTCAAAGGGTCCCCAGATATAGTGCTTAGATAGTACTTGTCGTGTCCGATTACATTGCGTTCAGATTTGGTCGACGACATCGAACAAAAGCTTCGTCAGCACTGCGGCGTCCACAGGATGCATAAACTCTAAACCTCGGTTCAGAAACCCTTAGTGCCCATGTCAAGCCATCGGAATTGCCCGAATTTACAGAACCCTGTAGAATCCCGTAAAGACTAGAGCATCCTTACGCAACACTTTGAGCCTTTAAGCACTGAACCTGTAAACCAAAGCCCGAAGCCCAGAATATCTGAACCCCTTAAACACACTAAACCCTTAAAACACCTAAATCGGAAACCGCTCAAGCCCGAAGCCCTTAAACCCCATGCCCTATAGTAACCCTTACAGCAACCCTTATCCATCGTAGACCCCTCACCCAGAGACTCCAATACCCCTTAATTAAGGAATATACATTAAATCATATTAGGAACCCTACTATAGTTTAAGGTATATTCCTGAATTGAGGGGTATTGGAGTCTCTGGGCATGGATCCCTTACCTTCAAGGAGCACTAAACCCTAGAACCCCAGACAAGAGCCCTTATAGATCCCTGAACCCTCAACCCTAGACCCTTAAGCCCTAGAATCCTAAACCCTCGAACCCTAAAACCCCAGAGCCCTAGAACCAGAACCCTAAACTTTCGAACTGAAAAACCCGCACTGCAAAGGAACCCTAGAACCCGAAAGCAGCCAGGCATCGCAGAGGTGCGCCTCTACGTGCGCGAGTCCGCGGAAAGTGTCGTGGCACAAACCAAGGCATCAAGCTTGCTGTTTGGTTTAGTGTTTTAGGATTTAGGGTTTAAGGCTTAGGGCTTTAGGTTTACCAGGACCCCCCAAGTACCCTTTAAAGGGCTCTAATATTTCTCATTAAGAGGTAATTGGGTGCTACAATGGGGGATAGTTGGGGGGCTTTAGGTTTAAGTACATGGGGGTTTAGGAGGGGGTTTAGGATTTTAGAATATGGCATTTGTTGTTTACTGGCTTCTATTAGTCAGGGTTCTAGATAGGGTCTTCTAACCGAGGCTTGAGTGTGTGTTTCGGATTTTGTAGGATTGATAATGGGTTTTGTAGGGTTCCATAGCGTTCTGATTTGTCTTAGAGGTTTCGTAGGGTTTTGTAGCGTCGTTTAGGATTTTGTAGGGTGTTGTTTTGTTTTATGGGGTCTTGTAGGGGCTTATAGGGTTGTTTATGGGGTTGTGTTTTGTTTTATATGATTTTGTAGGTCTTAGAGGGTGTCATTTTGCTTTTTGTAGGGTCTTGTTGCGTTTTATGGGGTCTTGCAAGGTCTTATTATGACCTTAGCATGGGGTCTTGTAGGATTGTTCGGTCTTGGGGTCTCGGGGTTTTAGGGTTTCAGGGTTTAGGGTTTGGGGCTTATCGGGTCCAGGGCTTAGGGCGAATGGTTGGTGTAGGGCTTTTGTGGGTTATCTAATGGTTTATGGTGTCTTATAGATTTATCATGCTTTGGGGGGGGTGTAGGGCTTTGGGTTCGAGTGTAGGGTTTGGGGTTTTGGATTTAGGCGTTGGGGTCTTGTAGTCCTTGGTATGCAAGTCCTGTGTACGTTTCCCGAAACCTCTATTCTAAGCGTAAACGTCCTTGTATTACCATGCGAAACCATATAAACCTTAAACACTTATCACCCTTACAACCCTTATAACCCTTATAGCCCTTATAACCCTTATAGCCCTTATAACCCTTATAATAACCCTTATAACCCCTAGCCAATACTCATGAACCACGGTACATGAAGGACTTCAAGAACTCAAGGTCTGAAGTCTGAATGATGGCTTAGCTTCTCGTTGTGGCTGTAGGCTAACTGTAGGGTTTATAGGGTTCTTTTCCAGGGTTTAGGAAGTGATGTTCCATCTACAGTGACTCATGTACGTAAGCTTTTCATTCGGTGTTGTTTTCAACTCGGGTCCCTGTCAGGAACCTTCGAAAGAGTCTTGAAGGAGGCACCTGAAAAAGGAGCCCCACAGGACGAAAACACTAAAAAGAGCTGGATGTTCACACATCAGCGCATCGTCGCCACCAGCCCATGCTACTTGTGGTCTGCGTGGCACTGCTCTCGTCTTACGGAACGCCCTTCCTCGTCAACCCTGATTTGAGGACACCGGTATCTAAGTCTCTATACCCAAGTCTAAAGACACAAAAAGCCAAACTGTGAATCTTCCATTCCTGAGGCCCTAAACATCAAAATGCGGACCCCTCCAACTGTACAGACTCCCTATACCCTAAGTTCTACCTCGACCCCCTAACTAACATCTAAATGAGAACTATCAGAGCTCTTTCACAGAGTTTTTTTGTGCGGCCCTATGCAATCTCCGTCTTGGCCTCCTGTGAGACATAACGAGAGTCACATCAAAATCCGGAGATATCTTGCACGTTGGCAGGTGGCTCTTGCCAATAACAGGACCCGCCCTCTGTGAGTGGACGCGAAAAAACAGCGAAGGCTGACTCTGTACATACTACCAGCGTAGAGACTTCAGTGCCCATCTCAACTCAGCTCCAAGACCAAGCCGAAAACTGTGCCGAGTCCAGCTCCGCAGAAGTGTCTTCAACGTGCCGTGTCCAGCGCCAGTGCGGCTGAAGAAATGTGCCATTGCAGATTCCTGGGCGTGACCTCCAAGTTTCCAGCCTAGTCAGATAACGCTGCCGCTGTCCTCACTGTGAGGATTGTGGGCGGGATAGTCAACGGTGTGCCACCCGTATAAAGGCGAAAACAGAAAATCCACTCCAGCTGCCCGGGACTGGAGTGGAGATGCATGCACCGGCCCGCCCTGGTATTCGTCGCCGAAAGGCTAACCCTTGATGAGGATTGCTCGGCGCACCCGGCTTCCCGCTTGGAGGGTCCAGGGTACTGTGCATGCCATGGCATGAACTGTGAGGGAGCAAAGGCAAAGGAGAGTCATTAAAGGAGCTGCCAATGCTCGGGCCGAAAGCCTTCTTTCACAGAGTGCTGCCGGTAAACCCCCTCACCCAAGCTTTTCAAACAGTGCCAGTTTTGCAAACTCCAAACCCTAAGTTAAAAACCCCCGTAACCCCAAACTCCCAAGTTTGAAACTCCCCTGACCGAAACTGTACAAAAAGTCTTGCCACGCCAGGCCAGGCAGGACGCTTCTGCCGAGGACGCAAAGGCCCGCATACAGACCTCGGTGCTGTACATGCGTGGCCTGTGTCCAGGGTCTAGGAATTTTGGGTGAGTAGGTGCAGGGTTTAGGGTTCAGGCTTCTGCCGGACAGATAAGCAGGTTGTGCGCAGAGAGGAGGGAGAGTGCTAATTGTTGGGGTGTTCCTTCAATATTGGGATTGTATCTTTCTCGCCATCTGGTGTGTCATCACTTGAAAGATCAGGGGACTTGGGCTAAAAGTAATACAGGGCCTTCAAAAACTCGGGGGCATTATACGACAGTGGTTTTAGGGGCAATAATGGGACAATGTTATTGATTATTGCCGTAAACCCGAAACCCTAAACCGGCCTCCTGTTTGTTCTGAACAAGGTAGCTCTGGCAATGTCTACCAACAAGCCTTCATCTTACCGTTGGTTAGTAGGGAATGGAGGAATGGGGTACAATTATAGCTACAATTACTACCAGTCTTCCATTCCCTACTAACCAAAGGTAAGTAATTGCTTGTAACCCCAACTTACAAAGTCCCCTGAACCTCTGAGTACTTAAGGGCGCACCAAAAATTCAAAGTCAGTCTTAAACCTTACACCCCTTAGCACAACTGATGAAAGCACCAAGCCCTTGCATTTTTTACCTATCTGTTTTCTGTTGATATAGGGATCCTAAACCCTAAACCCTAAACCCTAATAGGGATCATACTTGTCATAAAGATTGCAGAGTCGAGGCAACCTTCGAGGAGCTCCGAACGCAACTCCAGGCAGCCTGCTTCAATTAAGCTCTTGTTAAGGGGCCTATAGTAAGTAATATGGGGCCTATAGTAAGTAATATGGCTTTCTGATTATGGTATCTAACTGAAAATTTAGCTCCCTTAAAAAGAACCCAGTCAATCCCCGCTTCCAGCCCCCCTCCGGTAGCCAGAAGCTTAGGATCCAGGACATATAGGGTTCAGGGATTAGCTTTTTTTGCTGTAATGCAAACTTTGGGTTGATGATGCTGCAATCACCATCAGACTGACAGTGCTTGTCGTTTTGAGCGCTATCATGAGGATTCGCCCTGGTGCTTAGTAGGGAATGGGGGAATGGATCCCTAGAGTAGTCCCTATATAGTCCCCAATTATTATAGTCCCCATCCCCATACCACATTCCCCCATTCCCTACTAAGAACCAGACAGTTCTTCAACGGTCGTTCTGCCTTGCGGTTGTCAGAGGCCCTGAGGCTCCTCGGAGCAGGGGTCGTTTTGGCTTGGGTTTTGATGTAGGAACCTGATTAAGAAACCCTGGCCCTTTAACTCCAATATATTGGGATCCATATTAAGAACCCCTAATAAGGACCCAAGGTTTCTTGCTCGGGTTCCTACATTAGGTTGTAGCCTTAGGGCAGGGTTTAGGATGTTGGGATTTAGGCCGATTGATTGCACCTTCAAGCCTCCAGGCCTCACTGAAGCCTAGGAACCTGGCCACGGAAGCATTGAAGCCCGATGTACCCGAAGCCCCAAGCCCCAACACTCTTACAGGACCCTTTGTAGAACCTGTATAGGACCCTGGAAGCCTAGTTACTAAGTGCCCACCGCTCAGCAAGGCCAGCATGGCGGTGTGCCGAAACGAAGCCGGAGAGCGTCCCTCGATCGGCACGATGGCTACTCTTGAGTTGGTCCCAAACTCCTAAAACCTAAACCCTAAAACCTAAAACCCAAACCCTAAATGCTAAACCCCAAAACCTAAACCCTAAATCCTAAACCCTAAATCCTGAACCCAAAACCCGCACCTCACACTCGAGGCCCCTCACCCTGCAACGATCGCACGGCGCAAGCAGCATACTATCATGTACCATGTACACCAAAACCCTTGTTATTAAGGCCCGTACATAATGATTCGACTACGGGGTCCTATGCTGTGAAAATCTGCCCGAATCGTCAAGACGTCCTGTGGCTCCGATTTGCGATGAGTTGAATGGGTTATACCCATGGTTTTCGGGCTTAGGGTGGGGTCACAGCCGACTATTATTTCGTTCGATTGGGGCTACAACAACATGTTACAATGATACAATATGAGATATTTCATGATGATACGCGATATGATATCTGTGTTTGTGCCTGTATATGTGTGTATTATATGTATAAAGATATGGGTTAGACAATATGTAACAGTCATGACTATCAAACCCTAAAGGCCCTAAAGCTTGCGAGGGTTGAAACATACTTGGAGGATCATGGGACTTAGTAGGTAAGGTTATAAGTACCCTAACTGGGGTTATAAGTATAGTTACCCTACTTATAACCCTAGCTACTAAGTCCCATGATCCTCTAAGTAAACCCTAAACCCTCTAGATCCCTTTACGGAACCCTATAGATCCCTTTAAAGAGCCCTTTAAGGAACCCTAGTTATTAAGTCCCATGATCCTTTAAGTAGGGCTTAGACTCATAAGGGCCCGCTCGAAGCTGAGGCGAGACACGCCTGGCGGCGCGGCTCTCTTTCGCCACCCAGGCAGGTTCAAGGGTACTTACCGGGGAAAAGGAGGGACCCTTAATTTAGGGCTCTTAGGGTTCCTTTAAAGGGATCTATAAGGGTTTAGGGCTCAGGGTTTAAGGTGACCCTTACCTGGACCCTAAGGAACCTACCTTTTTAGGGTTGGTTCCCTAATATGATTTCTTTATGTAAGTCCTTAAAAAGGTAGGTTACGTGGGGTTAAGGTACCCGATAGGAGTTCCACAAAGTTGCTATGTGTCTTTCTAAGGGTTTCCATAAGGGGCAGTTCGTGTGACTTACCTGTAGCAAGTAGGGTTGTAAATACTATGTACTGCCCATACCAAGTAAGGCATCCTAAACCCCAACCCTAACCCAAAGCCCCTTAAGCCTAAGCTGGTTTTGGGGTTCAGGTTGAGGAAGAAATGCCTGTCGGTCCAGGGCCCGACTTTGAAGCCTACACCCGAGGTCCAATCACATCGAGCCGGAGTCACGGCGCTTCTACGGGGATCGTAAATTCGAAATCCTTTTACGCCTATATCATTATCCATAGGCTCCATAGTAATGCGAAAGTAGTTCCGTTTTGGGATTACCTTATAGGCTTCAAAATCTGAACCCTGAAAGGGAACTGCAATGGAGCCTACATAATTATGTAGTATGGTGTAGAAAAAGTCCCCCAACTCGGCGACCCTAAACCCTACTTAAAGGATCATGGGACTTAGTAACGAGGGTTATAATTAGGGTAACTATACTTGTAACTACTTAACCCCTATTAAGGCACTCATAGCCTTGCTTACTAAGTCCCATGATCCTCCAAGTACTATCACAAACCCTTAACCCCAATAGATCCCTTATAGATCTCTTTATAGATCACTTTGAGGAGCCCTTTAAGTTACTAAGTCCCCCGATCCTCCAAGTAATCCCCAATCCCAGGAGGCGCAGGGGGGACTTAGTATCTGGTCATTAAAGTACCAGAACCCCAATTAGGGTCCCTTTTGGGGTACTTATAAGCCTACTTACTAAGTCAGCCCGACCCTCCAAGCAGGAGGCGCAGGAGCTTCGGGGAGGCTTGGAAGAGCACAGCCGGCGCCAGGCGCGACAGGGAGGGGGGGTGGGGGGGGGCGGCCGGGGATTTAGAGGTTCCTGATAGGCTTCCTTAAAGGGGCGGTACGTGTTTGGGGCATAGGGGCTTGGAGATCAGGGTTGTTGGGGTTTTTGGGGGGTTTTGGGTTTAGATTTCCTTTTAGGTTCCTGCAATATGAGGGGTTCCATAACGCTGCTACAAGGGTTTAAGGATTTAGGGTTTGAGGTTTGGGGGTTTTCGGTTGGGGTTGGATTCATAGGGTTATGAGGGATTTGAGGCTAAGTTTTGAGGCTTTGGGGCTTCGGGCTTTGGCTTGAAGAGTTCACGGTTTGCTGTTTTAGCGTTTGGGGTTTCGGAGAGTGAATGTGTTGTTCAGTTTAGGGTGCGATCGGGCGAGGGTGTTTGGGATCTTTGGACTTGAGCGATCAAGGTTTGGGCTTGCTGGGTAGATGTGCAAGATTGTTGCAAGGTTGACTTCCCATGAGGATGTATGGTTATAAGTACCCTAATTGGGGTTATGAATATAGTTACCCTCATTATAACCCTAGTTACTAAGTCTCATGATCCTTTAAGTGGCGTTATTCGCAGGTTTTAGCCGTGTTGAGGACTCGGGGAGTACTTAGAGGCCCAGGGGACTTAGTATGTAGGTTATAAGTAGAGTTATAAGTCCCCTAAGTGGACCTACCCCAATTGTAACCCTACTTATAACCGACTTACTAAGTCCCCCGTGCCTCCAAGTACCCCATTCGAAGCCCGAGCCTTGAACGACCGATCCAGACTCGTTGAAGCACAGCAGAGTATGGGTGTCTCCATGCTGCAGGTATTATCAATTATTGCTTATACAGGTTTATCGAATATATGTACAAAGTTTAGAGAAACATTTATGTATTATACAGGTTCATCAGGGTATGTTGTGGTTTCGTGGCTACATCCGATGGCAACCACGGCATGGTTCAGAGTTCAGAGGCTTCAGTCTTTAGAGCTGCCATATTCTTGAAATCCTACACCCCAGGATCCTGTAAAACCCAACCCTTAGACTCAAATGCCCAGGAAGTTTCATTCGCAAGCCCGAACCAATACAACTCTTAACCCCCAACCCCCAAGACCTTATGCACCCTAATCCCCCAAACCCGAAACCCGTAAACTACCCTATACACCCTAAACCAACCCGAAAGGAGATACTGGGCGCAGAGCTCCGACAGGTGGGGGACTTGGGATGGGTAAGAACCCGACTTTAGGATGCACGGCTATGGACTAGTGACCAGGGTTTAGGGATGTGGACCCTAGCAGTCTTTTAGCCGGAAAGGCCTACCTTTATAGGGTTCCTTCTTATGGTTTCTATATATAGTTCCTTAAAAAGGTAGGTCTTTTCGGCTACAGGTTTAGTTCAAGGAAACGGTGCTTCGGAGTTCTTTAGAGCTTAGGGTGCAGAGTTTTTGGATGTTGCGTATTCAGTAAGAATTTTCAAAGCGCTCCCTCAGGTATTCGGATCCGTCGGGCCAGATTTTACATCCGGAGTCCATTTCAGGGGTTTTAGGGTTTAGGGTTGCCCCTTCTCAAACTGGCGTGTGACACGACACCTTCGCAAAATGCTCTGAGAGGTTTGGGAAGATCGGCATAAGGCCTACGCCCTGAGGGCTTGAACCCAAAATGATGCCCTGGGGGTCCAAGTGCCCGAGAATCGTACACCCCCCATGCGCTAAGCTACATTACTTCTACTCCATAGGAAGTACAGCCTATTATTAAGTACCTCACAAGAAAGAATACTTCCACACCCTCATAAAAGGAAGGCAACCGATATTCGTGCTCTGCTGCTGACACTCGCTTGTGCCAAAATGCTGCAATGCCTGACGTGGACTCGGTTCAGGGTTCAGGTTATTTCGGGAAAGTGAGAACCGGGACGCTCCCTGTGCCCTAAAATAGGCGCTTATGTCCCCAACAGTATGGATTGGGGTTTGATGGGCAGGAAGGAGAATCTCTACTGTTCCTCAGGGTTCGTTATGAAAACTTGTAGTTGCAGTTGTTATGGTGCAGGGTTTGCAGTCTAGGGTGTTCGGCAGCAGCTTCTCGTGTGATTTTTAGCGGCCAAGGTCGCCACCGTTTTTCCAGTCCAAATATATAAAGAGACCGGATTAAGGTAAGGGGGTACAGCGTAAGTTGAGTTGTAAGCGCTCCGACAAAGGGTGGTGTTGGCAGGCGGAAGGGCACGATGTGTATGTGTATGCGGGCACTCATGCATGGATGGATGACAGAAGCAATTCAGCTTACAGAACTCCCTGAAGATTTAAGTTGTTTTTGGGCGTGCCGATGTCGCGCTTCCCTAGGCCAAGGACGGCGAAGGCAAAACTGTCCAGCTCCGCACCTTGCCTTATCTTGGCCGTTGTCATTGCGCGCTACACTGCCGCGTTCCCCGAACCGACGACCGATGCTCGTGGTGTTGGCTCACATGTTCCGGCGAAGGCCAGCCAGCTCTGCACCTTGAGTTATCTTGGGCTGCAAGTGTTGCGCCTGTACTGTAATACTGCGGCATTACCCGCACCAACGGCCCAGCGGATGCTAATGATGCCATTTTCCCGACAATAACCGTCCAGCTCGGCATCAATACCGCGCTATGTTGCAGCAAATCCCCGAGCCAACGTGATGCTAGCTCAAATCTTCCAGCACCTTGAATTATTTTAGCCGCTGCCGCGACACTGCTGCGTTCCCTGAACCACGGCCCAGCTGATGCTCATGATGCTGGTTCAAACGTCCCGGCACCTTGAATTATCTTGGCCGCCACAGCTACACGACTGTGTTCCCCGAAATAAAGCCGAGCTGATGCTCATGATGCTGGCTCAAATTTCCCGGCAGCTTGAATTATCTTGGCCGCAGCCGCTATGCCACTGCGTTGCCCGAAATACGGCCGCGCTGATGCTCATGATGCTGGCTCAAATTTCCCGGCACCTTGAATCATCTTGGCCGCCACAGCTACACGACAGAGCTGATGCTCATGATGCTGGCTCAAATTTCGCGGCAGCTTGAATTATCTTGGCCGCCGCCGCTATACGACTGCGTTCCCCGAAATAGGCCGAGCTGAATCTCATGATGCTGGCTCAAATTTCCCGGCAGCTTGAATTATTTTGGCCGCCGCTGCTATACGACTGCGTTCCCCGAAATACGGCTGAGCTGAATCTCATGATGCTGGCTCAAATGTCCCGGCCCCTTGCATTATTCTGGCCGCTGCCGGTACACGACTGCGTTCCCCGAAATACGGCCGAGCTGATGCTCAGGATGCTTGCTAAAATTTCCCGCCCCTTGAAATGTCTTGGCCTCTGCCACTATACGACTGCGTTCCCCGAAATGCGGCCGAGCTGATGCTCATGATGCTTGCTCAAATTTCCCGGCCTCTTGAATTATTTTGGCCGCTGCCGCTACACGACTGCGTTCCCCGAAATACGGCCGAGCTGATGCTCATGATGCTTGCTCAAATTTCCCGGCCCCTTGAATTATCTTGGCCTTTGCCGCTACACGACTGCGTTCTCCGAAGTGCGGCCGAGCTGACGCTCATGATGCTTGTTCAAATTTCCCGGCTCCTTGAATTATTATGGCCTCTGTCGCTACACGACTGCGTTCCCTGAAATACGGCCGAGCTGATGCTCATGGTGCTGAAAGCCGTCCGTCTCGGCACCTTCAATGGCCTGCCAATATCGCACTGGATTGTGCGTGTCTTGAACCAACCGCCCAGCTGATGCTCATGATGCTGGCTTTTCTTTCCGGGCAAAGGTCCCTTAGCCCAGCAAAGGCTTCCAACTGATGCTGGCGGAGCAATTCCCAGGGCACTGAATTTTGGTAGTTTCATTTTAAATCCACATGCAACCCGGAGCTCGCCTTTTGGCTAAAGCCGACTGATCTTTGGTTTTTAGGCTCTGACACTTTCAACCCTCAGCCGCTATCCCAGCTTCGGCTCCCTAAACTCCGACTCCAAACTCCCAAGTCGACGGAAGAGCGACTCGCTTGGGGTTTAGGGATTCTAGTGGCTGCGCCCACGGAAGCAGGGCCCTCCGCCAAACCCCGCTGATGCTGATGATGCGCGCCGTTTGGGTGCTTCCGCAACCCACTCAAAAATTCTCAAAACGTCGCCTCGCACCGCAAAGCCGGTTGCGGGCGCCCGAGTGCTCATAATTAATGCTCGCCGGCTGGCCCCCTGGGTCGTCCACGGCCAGCCCGAAACCCGCCATAGCCTGGGGAATGGTTGCAGGCCAGCCGGCGAGCATCATGAGCACTCGGGCGCCCGCAACCGGCTTTGCGTTTTGACAATTTTTGAGTGGGTTGCGGAAGCACCCAAACGGCACGCATCATCAGCATCAGAGGGGTTTGGCGGAGGGCGGGTGTGTAGCCTTGCTCCAAGCTTCAACCTGCGTGGGCGCAGCCCCTAGAATTGAAATATTGCTAGGCATAGCATGGCGACTTGAACCTACTTTACCACACACTTCCGCACCCTAGTGACTCCTCCCCGGCACTTCCCGGCGCCATCCCATAAGAGACAACAGAAACTGCTGTAGTTTTCATGGCTTTAAGGTCTGGGGGCCTTGAGTTTAGCCTACACCTTCCAGGCTTGAGGTGAGGAAGCTTCAAGCTACCACTGCAGAACCCTCGACATGAAGTTCCGATGATCCAAGACCACTACAATTACAGCTCCCTAACATAGGGGCCTTACTGGTTACAACAAGGTCTTGTGGTATATACTGATATATCCTCAAGATTCAATAATCCATTCCTAGACCCTTCGGCATTGCCGCCTCGACCCAGATCTTGGAAGATCGCGTCGCGAAGGTGAACTGTGACATCCAGGACTGTAAGGGGTTTCGGGTGTTACACGCCTCTAGGGCTGTTTGGGTTTAGGGTTTCGGGCTAAGTCCTCGAGCCATCTTTTCCAAAACTCTAGACTCTTGAAAAAAGGCAAGGCACCCGATGAAACTCCCAGCTTCGAGCAGCTCCGGAGACTTCTTCGGCCTAGGGGCTTTTACGGGCTCAGGGCTCTTAGGGTTTTTTCAGGTCCAAGGGCTTGCCGGAGACGTCTGTCTCTTCGACTCACGATGTAATCCTTGAGATGTGGGCTGCGAACCTGGGTACAATTCTCAACCCAAGCGCCGCCTAAACCCCGTTTGCGCCACCCTAAGCCCTAAAACCATCATTCGAGGCTCCAGAAAGCTGAACCCCGGCCTGCTAACCTGCTTGCAGGATCCTAGGGACTTATCAGCAAGGGTCTTCAGGCTCGGCTTGCGTAAGTGCGTTGCTTATTACCAATCGGTTCTCATGAGACTAAAGCAGGGCTTGGATGTTGGGTTTGCATCGTTTTTTTCATTTGTGGTTTTGTTTCGAGGTTTAAGGTTTCAATCAAGGTGTTGTGGGATGTTACTGTTTTATTTCGGATTTTAGGGGGTTAGGGCAAAGCTCTGGTTTTTACGTTTACGCTCCAGGAGCAGAAAGACATGCTCCAGTCCGCCAAGGCCCTCTCTGAATCCCTGGACTTGGGAGTGCAGGGCATACTTTGGACGTAGGGTTGAATATAGGTTAGAAGGGCCCCCACAATGTAATAGTGGTAGGATAGGAATATAATAGGGCGCTAATATAATCCTTATAGTCACTATGACAGGGTGGGGGCAGCTTCTAAAATATAGGAGTTTCCGAAAATTAGGGATACCGTATTTAGGCGTGCTTATAATAAGGATCCTACTACTTAGGGTACTATATTGGTGTCCCCTATCTTCGGAAACTCCCATATAACCTGAGTAATTACCGATACCATATATGTGGGTTCCTTGTTGTAATTCGAGCATAGTATATCCCAAATACCTTATTCTAGTGGAGCGCAGGGCATACTTTGGGCGTAGGGTTGAAGAACGCGGCCTGAAGAATTACCGATACTTTTTGGGGGGAGTTCCCTGTTTGTAAGATCGTATATTGGAAGGTCCAGGGTTGACTTCAGAATTCATTAGCACTCGGGGAGTCGGGGGCCGTTTGGTGGTTTGTTTCGTTTTAGGGGGGGTCGAATCGTATTGGGGTGCAGTCCTCAAGCAAGCTGCGCATGGTAGGGCCTATCCGGCCTATCAGTGAAGAAGTCCTCGATCGACACATCTTGAGAGCCCTCTGCCTCAAACGATCGAGGACGCGTTTTGCGTCGCTTTCTGCTCACTCTCTGCTTTGATATTTCTGGGGTCGACATCATTTCCGGTAGGCCGGTTTGGGGTCACAGGACGAGGGAATCTATTTACAGGAGTACACCATTTCTGACTGTTTATATTTATAACCCAAACCCTGTTGACCCAAGAGTTTGAGGTGTAAGGTTTAGAAGTTTGGGCTTAGAGTTTTGGCTTAGTTCTCAAAGAACCATGCCTGTGAACCCCCTTTGTTTAGGAATCCCAACCAGGCACGTGGCTGGCCTGAAACCCCACATCCAGGCTGTCTAATTAAGCTTCTAAGCCCTTTTGCCCAAACTCCCAAGTCCACAAGGTTCCCAGTCTCCGGCATCGTCACATTTGAACTAGAGCTTAAAGATCAACATAGCCCAAAAGCCTTAATATATGAGTCCTTAGATCCCTAGGGTAGAGCTACCTCGCAGGACGGTTTGCGCAAGTACATCGGCGATGCCCTCCGCAAGTCTGAGCAGAAGCTCCAGGCAGCAGCTTGCTGGTTCGGGTTCGAGGGTCTTTATTAAGTCAGGGTTCGATCAGAGTTCCTTTAAGGTCCCTTCTATGGGTTTGGGTTTTGAGTGTTTGGTAAGATCGTTCCTTCTAGGGCTCCCTATGGTAGATGTAGTCATATAGTACACCCTACAGGATCTGCTTTCGTCACCCTCCAACTCTAAATCCGAAACCGCGAATCGCGAACCTGCAGGACCTCACCCAAATCCCGAGAGCCCCGAAACCTTAAAGCCTTATAGATTCATAGATCTTAAAGAGATCCTTGAGAGAAGTCAAGAACGAAACCCTAAAACCCTGAAGCCTTGAAGAAGCCCTCATAGAGCCATGAGAGAAGTCTAGACAGGTCTACACCCCTGAGCCGAGAGAGCCCCCTAAACCCTAAGCCCAAAACCCTAAGTCGTAAACCCTAACCCCAAACCCCAAGCCCTAAACCCTAAGCCCTAAACCCCAAACCCTAAACCCTAGAAGAGGCTCTGACGGCCCAGCCGAGAGTCCTTGGCCTCGTCATGGACCAGATGGAAGGCCTGGTCAGAGTGTGAGCCTCAGAGGGCGCAGGGGGACTCTAGCAAGGGATCCTTTAAGGGGATCTATAAGGGGGGTTAGGTTTAGGGTCTATAAGGGGTTTAGGGTTTAGGGCTTATAGGGTTTGGGGTTTACAGGGTTTAGGGTTCAGAGGGTTAATGCTTGGTCAGAATGCGAGCCTTAAAACACTGCAAAAGGTTAGGGCCGCTAGGGCTTTAGAGTGGTAGGGTTGGGGTCAGAACGGTAGCTTCAGTTTAGGGATTAGTGGGGCGTTAGAGGATTGTAAAGGTCCTAGAGTCCTAGAAGGGTGCGCTAATCCAGGGTTCTAACGAGACTTTCGATCAGAGGGCTGGAACCTGGAGGTCGGGGTTTCTGTGGTGGGCCTTATGGGGCGAGCTAGAGCTTGTAGGATTTGTTGAAGTGTGGATGGGTGTCTAGAGTACAATTATGGCATTGAGGGTGTCGAATTTTGAGGGTTTCGGGTTTCCAGGTTGTTAACATCCTTAAGCTCATATCCCAATATTCCTGATGCCCTTAAGCAACCCTGAATCCTACTTTGTAAACCTTACGCCATACATGCTAGGTAGGGCTTTGGGACATTTCATATTTTCCCTTATTGGGCTTAAGAGGATCTTATTTACTAATATTTTCCAAAGGCTCTAAAAGCCCCACCTAGCATACCTTATTCTGGGGGCCTTATAATAAGGATCCTACTATTTAGGGTACCATATTAGGGTCCCCTATTTTCGGAAACTCCCACATGGTGGCGCCCAGGGAGTGACGAAAAGAGAGCTCGAGACGTTCCAGCGTGAGGCGCTTGAACCCGGAGAACCTGGGCTTTAGGGTTTAGGAAGTTTAGGGATAGGGTTTAGGAAGTTTAGGAAGTTTAGGGATTTGTTTTGAAGTTTTGGTCTTCAGTTTTAGCATCTGGATTAGGGCTTAGGAAGGGCTCAGATCGCCTCGTAGAGAGGAAAACTGGTAGCCCCACGGCACAAAGTGTCGACGCCATTCCCCTTTCGCCCGCGTGGCACCGGAACCGGCGACAACAACGATCAAGGGCACGCGCTGCCTTACGCCTAGGCCGAGGACTCACCTGGCAACAAGTTCGAGCCCTGCGCAGGCACCACGGCACTGCGCCCCAGCAGACTGCTGTCCTCAGGCGAATGGGAAAGAACGATCAGCCATGGGGAGATCATTCCTATCATTTGTGGCGTGGCTCCTGGCCTGTTTCGCCGCGTACGCGACATGGTCAACCTGCCCCGTGGAAGAAAGGCCAGGAGAAAGGCCGCTCTTCCAACAGCTTCCCGGCTTACGATGCCGTCGCACCGCAACAAACTCCGACTCATGCTTCCATCCCGGTTGTGACCTTGGACGATGGAGACGCGGACCCCGGATCTTGCATGGTGCCGAGTATGCAGAAGGCTCTGAACACCTGCCGGAAGGCGGAACAGCGGCTTGCCAAGTTGCTGAAGGACAGACGTGTATCCACTCAGCAATGGGATATTTACGTCAAAAAAGCCAAGGCGGCTTACGTGAAGGAGAAGACGAGACATCTCCGAGCACTCGAAGCCTTCGACAAAGAGCTCCGAACAGCACAGCAGGCGCAGGAGGAGGCGAGGCAGATGGTGTGCATGGTGGCGCACCACCACGCAATGGGCTCGGCACCTGCCGAAAACACCGAGGTGGAAGGAGGAGCCGAGTGGGACGCGATGATCGCGGAGTGGGAGCAGGAGCAGGAGTTCGCGGACGATGGCGTCCTCCAACGTGCTATGGCTGCCGCGAGGAATGTTTCTACACCGAGGCCCCCCCAAGACAGGATCCCTCGCACGCCGGTCCCGGAGAGCGGTGCGCGAAAGGGCGAGCCGGAGCCCACCTATACTGCTGTGTCCCCGGACCTGGGCCGTGCACGTGTGGATCCTTACCCGGCCACCACACCGGGAGCTACGAATACCCACACTCCATTGAGCAATGCCCAATTGGGAGCCGCCATCCCGGAGGATGTGACATCTCCGGGGCTGACAGGCATGCGAGATCGGAGCTCTCGTTCAGAGCAACGAAAGGGCATCAAAGAGCAGTCGAAGACGAAGCCGCAGGTGACAGAGGTGCACGGGAATATCGAGGACAAGCTCCAGAGGCGGCGTGCCCTCACGCCTTTTGGGCTACCGGCCACTACCACGGAATCCGCCAGACCATCTGGACCGAGCTCAACAGTTCCCTTCGTGAACGACGACGACGACGAGTCAGACTTCGCAGAGGCGCTTACGGCCGAGGAAACAGCAAGGCTGATGCAGCCCAAGGGTGCTCATGGTGGCGCCAATGCGGAGTAATATGCAGTCCAGGGATGCCGATGGCTAGATGCGTTGAGCTCCTGACATGCTCCCTGGAGAGCCCGGCCTCTGAGATGCGTGGAGTGCTCATGGGTTCGCACTACACGCGTCCAGTGTGCCAGTCGCACTTCAGGTTGAGCTTGGATGGAGCTCCGCACAGATGGCCTGATGCACATGGAGAATCTGCTGAGCTGCCAAGGTCTGTGTACAAAGGAGTAGCCCGTGTACATAATGGGGTAGGGCGTTTTGGCTCCGCTGTGTTCTGCTTGCCTTGGAGGTTGCAATACCATTCTCAACCTACCTTGCCAATGTCTTCCTCGACCGGGCTGGAGAAGCACTGCTCCAACGCTCCCACAGGCTCCGGTCCCCGCCATGTGCCATCAACAGGCGCCTACCTGCCGAGTGGCTGCAATGACAGTTGCCCGAGGCCAAAGGCTGAGCCCCCCGAGGGTATATGCGACTCTCCGGCACACATCTGTAACTCTACCCGAGTACCTAATAGTAGCATCGGTGGTTCTGGGGCTACAACCGGGTTTTGTTTCGAAAGAGGGATGCAGGCGCTCCTCAGTGCCATTGCTGAACTTGTGTGCCCGTTCTTCCTTCACCTTCTTGCCATTCTCGGAGGTGCATTGACGCGCACCCTCTTGCAAGCTACCGGCCTGTCCAAGCGCACCCTAAATCGGTTAGGGTTCTGGTTGTGTTGGGGCTTCCCGGTTTCAATTGTTCTTGCCCTAGACCCTGCACCCAGCCAAGGCAAGCGCCGTCCATCGGCGCGTCCCAGGCAAGGCAAAGCCCCAACACTTGGCACTGCAAGGCCATGGAGCTGCCTGCTCTGGCTAGGGTCTTTTCTTGGTTCGCCAGTTTGTGCATGGGCTGCGCCCGAACCATGGGGAGAAGCTCTGAACATTTTGATTCAGGCGGCGCACATTTTCCCTGAGGAAATGCCAACGGGCCATTTTGGTCCCCCAGCTCCACACACAGCCGCCGTTGATCCCTTCGAGAGTGTCCGCATGCAAGCACACAATGCGGCGCTTACCATGCCTCTATCAGAGAACCCGGACCTTCCGGCTGGTGTTGATGCAGAAGCTGAATCTGAGGCGGACGAGGATCCTGGCACCCTCCTCACATGCTTGATCCTGTCCCCACATTTTCATTCTGAGGTGATCCCCTTTAGACGGCAGCTGCCATGCTCATATCAGACCTTTTTGACTGTTGTGCACAACGTCTTCCGTCCAAGACACCCAGAGCTCCCGACATTCGTTACACCAACGATCCCTCAATTGTGCCCAGATCATGCCTCAATGCTTTCAGCGCCTTACTGGGTCGCATCCTCTGGGATGTGTGTGGTTGTGTACGACATGCGAGCCCTGGGCGGGCCTGTTTACGCTGCCTACACACACGAGCAACTTAGGCACGGAGATTGTGTCAGAGAGGCAGCCAGGAACCATTTGCAAGAATGGGAGGTCTACGTTTTCGGACACTCAGCGCCATTTCGACAAGGTGCCACATGTTTGGCGGTGCAAGGCGGAGTAATCCCGTTTCGGGCTGTAGGGCAACAGCCGGAGTGGTGCTGTACTCTGGCCACCAGGCTGATGCGGCCAAGGATGTGGGCCGATCAACCGGACCTCATCCCAGTTCCAAGAGAGAGGCCCCTGCTGGTCTCGTACCACGATCGGTGCACTTTGATCACACGACAGCGTGCGGCTGGCCACGACTTACGCACGATCGTTGCAGACCTCGTTGATCGGCAGCCCAGCACGGCTCTTTTTTGTGCACCCGCCGACCAGGAGCTTGCTAATGTAGACTTCTACGGGGCACGTTGCCGAGATGTCATAGCAGTGTTTCCTTTGATACCGGTCCCAGACCGAACAGGGATCCTTGTTTTTCTGGATGGGCGGCCAGTCAACGAGCCCGTCACGCATGTTTACCTCGCCGACCGACAGGTTGAGGTTGCATTCCTGATAAGATACCTGCACCTGCAACCACCGCCCACCTTTAAGGTAGTGTGCTGCCCTAAGCCCAGGCGTAATGGTTGCCTACGTCTTCGGGAGGGAGCTGTTGTGGTTTTCGGTTTTGTGCAGGATTTCCTGTCCGACGATGAAGCTGAGGACGACGACAGCAGCTCCTCGGAAGACTCTGATGGGTCCGACCCTGAATCACAAGGTGATTCTGCCCCCGCAGATAGCATACCACAGGGACCACCACCTCCAGTCCCTGTCAATCTCCCGCGAAGAGACTCCACACGTGATCCCTCTGACAGAAGCCGCTCCCGTTCACCTGGGGGGTCAGAGGACCTTGCAATCCTCCACAGCAAGGATGTTGCAATTGATGGTGTGAGCACAGGCCTTTGCGTGCAGGATCTATCCTTAGGCGTTGTGCCGCCAGTTTGTTGCTGCAAACTACTGCGGGAACCGGCTACCGCCGGCCTTGGCCAGTCCGAATCTGTGCAAAATCTGCGAGACCTCGCCGATGCGATGGGACTCCCCTGGAGGTATGTCCCAGGACAGGAACTCGACGAAAGGTTGTTGATTATGCCAGCTGTCCCAGCCGAACTGCTTGATGCACAGGCTAGGCTTGTTTCGATGTCCTTTGCAGTTCTGGTCCCTGGATATGCTCCAGAAAGAGTCCGTGTTTCAACGATTTTTCCAGCCGACGCGGATCATGTTTTGCAGCTTGTCCAAGCCGAACGCCAGGATGCACAGGCAGGGCTCTTCCCAGTCTTGCTAGCTGTTGTTCCGCAGCCATCCCCCACGTGGGGCATTGCAATCGCTTTGCCTTCCTGGAATCCTATGGCCTCCGTGATTGTCTTGGACACCCGGCTCTTTGACGATCGGATGCTTGCCGTTCAAGCACCCATTTTCGTGAGCCGAGCAACTGTTCTTTGGTTGGCCGGTATCCCCGAGCGAGCACCAGCTGCTGTTTGGAGTCCGATTGATGGGGTGCGATTAGAAGGAGGACACGAGATCCGCGTGTTCCCGGGTCAGTGCATTTTTGTGACTGCCGAAGACGAGCCCTGTCCTGTCACTTATCATCTGCAAGACATGCTTCTCCAGCCCGAACCATGGACCGTGGAAGAAGCACTACCTCTCCGGGACAACGGCCTCTGTTATTGCTGTGTATCCGACGGGGGGCATGCTTTGTATGCTGCAGACCCGAGCACCCCGTGGGCTTACCGGCGTGAGATCGCACACACATGTGGCCTTGACCCCGCGAGGATAGCCATTGACCCAGCTGACCCCCCACAACGTGATTGCACGGTTTATGGACATTGGTGCCAAACCGTGCTTGCAGTCGGGTCTGCTGGTGTTGGACAAACCGAGACACCTACCTTTGCGGTCATTCTTGATTGCCGGCCCATTATGCAAGGCTGGAGGCGTGTAAGCACCAGAGGCCGCCTGGATTTTGACCAGCTTGAACAGGAAGTCGGAGAGTTCGCCCCCCTCTTTTGGGAGCTTGTCCTCCTCCATCGACCGCACGGCCCAGGTGAGCACCAGGTCCGCAGAGGTCAGGTTTTTGTTGCAGTCTACCGCCCAGTCCCGGAGGAGCCGGTTCTTGCCGAAATCGAACTTGATGTGGCAACCCCAGCAGACGGTCGCGCTGCTGACCGGACAGGTGATAGGCACACTCCAAGGAGTCTCTTCGATGAAACACATGTCCCTCCTGGAGACACCGGCCACGATGCTCTTCAGCACCGCGAGCACCACGGGCCGGCAGAGCCTACACACTCAAGCATCACTCGCTGTGCTTGCGCGGCTGTTGACGGGCCAGCCCCAAGTTCCCGTCTCATGCGCCAGGTTCATGACGCTGTGCGCACACTTGCTGCTGGCCCTCTTGGGCTAAGTCGGTCCCGTGCTTCCTCGCCTTCCAGTCGAGTTGTCATGTGGTTGAAGGATTTTCTGCAACAAGCTTGTCCACCAAGCAATCCTTCTGCCACCCCTGTACTCCTGGAGGCCGTCAGCAATGAGAGCCTATCTGCTGGTAATGACACAGCGCCGGGCGCCGTTTCTGTGCCTCGCACATGTGGTTTGTTGCAGCAAATTGGTTCATATGGGATTGCACCCGCAGTGCTTGCCATTACCCCCTCTGGACACGGGGCCTCTGCTGGAAAACGTCCGGCAGTTCGGTCAGGCCCTATGCTTGGGTTTGGTAGTGCCCCTGGAGCTCGGAGAGCCCTATTTTGGGTTGCTGTCTTGTTCGGCGTGCAACGCAACCAGGCTATGCAAATTGCCCATCACACTGGGCCCTCTCCGCATGCCGTGAGCTCCGCAGCCCCAAGTCTGAGGTCAACCAGTGCCGGTGTACGACCATTTGATGCCAAGAGCCACCCCGCCAGCACACTAGCAGATTGCCTTGGTCGCGGCAAAGCGTCCGGCCCATGCCGCAGGCCTCTTCCCACGCCTTGTCGAGCCCCTGCTCACCCAGTCCGTCCCACTGACGATCTGGACGGCGAACCACTGTCGACGGGACTATCGACCCTCTTGTACGACTGGTGTTGGCAGGACAACGGCCGAGCATTTTATGAAACTGCCACGCTTGTTGAGACGCTCGTGGAGCATTTTCAAGGTGCACTGTGTCCAGATGGCCCTGCCAATGTTGCCCCAAACCCTGTGCGCCTGGTTGTCTCTCTTGCTCAGACAGTACCAGTTGTGAACGGCCGCAACCTTTCCCCCATGCCGGCCTTCACTGCTTTTTGCTTGCCCCAGGATTGTGTGCTTGTCGATGTTGGACAACCCTTGACCATTGGGGACACGCCTCTGGGCTTTAACCTGTCCCAACTTCAAGCGCTGGCGCAGGCACCAGTCGACCTGCAACCTCTTTGTGTTGCTGTTCAGTATTGCCATAGCTTGCAAAGTTTTGGTGATGGCCTGTTGTCCCCATGGTTTGAGACGCTGCGCTCAACCATCCCGGTCGGAGACTTGTGTTGCTTCACCGACGGGTCCTTTTTTCCAGGAACCCCGACCCGCGCTGCACGGGCCGGATGGGCCACGATATGGGTTGAC